CCCCGGAGGACCTGCCCCTCGGCGACCGTGCCACGCGGGGCCGCGGGGCAGGCTGAGCGCCGCGTTCGCTCGCGCTGCATCCCAGCTGCTCCAGAGGCTGGGGTCCGATCGCGTTTCCAAGCCACCCGCGGCAGGAAAGCCCGTGCCACGATCCGACTTACCACCAGAAAAGCCGAAGTGGGGCCGTGGCTCAGGTGGTAGAGAGCTAGCCTTGAGCGGAAAACCTCAGGGACCGTGTCCGGGTCCCGAGCTCAAGCCCTAGGACCGCAGCCCCCCCCCCCCCCCCCCCCGACTGGACACGCCGTGGAGCCTTCTGATGGCGTCTTCGGCGAACCTGCCCCTGCGAACCGTCTTTTTTGTCTCACAGGCACCAGCTGTTCTGCAAACTCACCCTACGACACATCAACAAAGCCCCGGAGCACGTGCTGAGGCACACCCGCGGCCGGCGCTACCGGAGAGCACTGCAGCAGTGTAAGTTACTGGAAGCCAGAGACGCCAGCAGGGCAGAGGGGGACCATGGTCACCTTCCAGACATCCTTGGTTACACCTGACAGTCCGGGCACAGTAAGGAAAAGGGAGGTGGTTTGGGACCTCACGGACTTCCAACATAGATGGGCACACAGGTACAAGCAGGCTGTGAAGGAACTTGCAGTAAGTAAGTATTGGGTGGGACAGAAACTACTGTGGAGGAAATATCTTCCAGAGTTGCTCCTAGGGGACCAACCTGTGGTCCTCTGGGACTGGGAGGGCTGACAGCCTCCACCAGCATGCAGTTTGGGGCAAGCTAGGCTGCAGAGGATCTTAGAGGCTGTGGTCAAGGCTAGATCTGGTGGGAACAGATTAGCGGCCTGTGGAAGATGGAGGGGGACTTGGCAGGGAGGTTGTGCTGGGAAGGCACCGTCTGTGACTCAGTCCAAGGCTGAGTAGTCAATGCTTGGTCGTCAGGGGAGCAGGGAGAGCTGCTTTTTTGTTCTTAAATTCAGGGCAGCTTAGCGAGGAAGGCCAGTGCTTAGGCACTGTAGAGCTGTGCCTGAACCAAGAGGGAGCTTCCCTGCCTGAGTTTGCAGAGGGGACTAGGCAGTCCTGAGCATCGTAAAGCCCCAGGAGAGACAAGAGTAGGAAAGTGACCACAGGATTGGACCTGGCACCCCTCACCAAGGCAGCTAAGGTATCGTGCGGACCAACCCTGGCTAGATTCTGGTGAGGGCAACGTCTGGCCTGAACAAGGCAAACATGGAGACATACAGGTGAACACGGGAGGAGGATGGGGACAGGGGAGCGGGTTTGAGTGCTTGCATCACTGTCCCGCCCCTAGTGGGGGCAGATGGATGCTGACTTGAGGCTGAGAAGATGCAGAATAACAAGGTGAGGGGTTGGGCCTACAGTCAGGGTTCCTGGAGCTAGCAACAAGACCATTGAGCTACGGTGGAGAGAAACACACACACACACACACAACTTGGATGGACTGTGGAACTGAGACAGGAATGATCTGGAAGAGTCAGAATGTGGCTGTGGGGACATGCTGGGGAGGCGGCGGCAGGCAGTGGCAGGAACCAGACGACAGCAGAGCTGATATCCCCCATGCTGTTAGACTGAGGGTCTGGCTCCAGCAGATCCTCAGTATGTGAGCACAGCAGAGGGATCCCCAGTAAGTGCCTTCCATGAAGCTTCATACTGGCCTTGGAGCTCCAAGCGCAGAAGGGAGGGTCAGGCAGCTACATGGAGCAGCTCCTAGGGCATGTCCCCACAGTGCTGAGGGGGAAGACTGGTCAGCTGGTGATAGGCTTGTGTCTTGCCATGGGGCCTCACAGTGGGTCTGCACACTGCCCTCGCAGAAAGCTTCTTGTAGCCTGGCCTGGTGGACCTGCACCCCTCTCTGGCCTCTGGGTAGGACCTGAGCCCAGCTGCCCACTCACTACAGCTCTGGTCGCTATCTGGTGGGGTGGAGATCCGGGGCCCTGACGGAGCAGCCTCCGTGGGCTATCACCATGTCCAGAGGCCCTGGTGGCACTGAATACCAGTGTAAGCTGGTTTGTCTCCCAGATGAAGAGTGCCAGGAGCAAGGAGTGGAGTATGTCCCTGCCTGCCTGCTGCATAGGAGGAAGAGGAAGCAAGTCCACACGGACGGGGACGGACCTGGCCTGAGAGCAGCGTTCTGGGAGCCAGCCTCCAGCGATGAAGGGGAGAGCCCGAGTAGTGACGACAGCATGACAGACCTGTACCCGCGTAAGCAGGCCCCGTGCGTCCTGCTAGCACCACGGCCATCTGGGCATTTCCCCCCTCAGCCTTGCCCCACCCCATCCCGAAGGCCAAGTGTTGGTGTACCTCCAACAAGCCTGAAACGGTGTCTATTCCTTATAATAGCTGAGCTGTTCGCCAAAAAGGACCTGGGAGGACAGAAGAATGAGGATGGCTCCACCGACTTTCTGACAGACCAAGAGGAGGCGCGGCCAAGGCCCCCAGGAGAGGCAGACACTGAGGACAGAAAGGAGACGGGAGTGGACTGCAGGCAGATGTGTAAGCGGAGAAAGGTGAGCTCCTACCTGTGGCCTAGTATATGCCAGGCACACCTTCCACAAGCTATTTCACGCTGACAAGGAACATGGAAACCACAGTCTCCAGAAGTTCTGAGCTGGGGAGCTTGGGCATGGCCTCGGGAATGGCTTGACTTCTGAAGACCACCTTTCCTCTGCTACAGGGTAGGAAACAGGGCTGGGGTTAAAAGGTCTTTTTTTTTGGGGGGGGGGGGTCCGGTGTTGGGGCCTGAACTCTGGGCCTGGGTGCTGTCCCTCAGCTCTTCAGCTCAAGGCTAGCGCTCTACCACTTGAGCCACAGCGCCACTTCTGGCTTTTTTTTTCTTATGTGGTGCTGAGGACTCGAACCCAGGACCTCAAGCATGCAAGGCAAGTGCTCTACCACTGAGCCACCTTCCCCGCCCCAAAGGTCAAAGTTTTTGAGGGGATCTACGGCACCCTGTTCCAGGCTGACAGTGCTCTAACCCAGCACAGAAAGGCCTGATGGCATGTCCTAGGCATATAGAACCTTCCTCATGGGGTCCGGAAGGCCTGGTAACCTAGCCTTTTCTCCGCTTTGCCACAGAAACAGCTTGGGTCATTGACCAAGAAGCCCAGGAGCTTCAACTCCTTCAAGCAGTTGGGGTAATGCAGACTACGGAGACCCACTCACGGCTCCCACTGTCTCTTGACTTGCTGGAGTTCTGACACGAAGGCAGCGGCAGGGCTTCCCAAGCTGTTCCGTGTGAGGCTGCTCTGGGCTGCGGCGAGCCTGGCCAGGCCCGCCCAGGCTGGATGCTCCCATAGGATCACACCGCATACCACAAATGCCTTTATTTATTTTGATGTTTCCAAAAATCAAAACATTTTCAAACACAACTAAGATATAAAATACAGCATAAAAATGAGATTTATACCTATCCCCACATAAAGCAAAAAGCATTTTCAGTTATTTTTCTAAACCAATGGGTAGACTGTTTCTTTCTCTCCCCACCTGGCAGTCCATTGAAAACTACCAGATGGAAAGTGGGCCCCTAGACAGGCCGCTGCTGCATGGCAGGGCTGACCAAACACTTGCTCCCAGGCTCCACTCCACAAGTCATGTCACGCGACAGGGCCAAAGGGTGTGTGTTGAGGCAGTCTTGCTGTGGCGGCATCCACACGGGCCTTTCTGTAGGATGAGGGGAGGCCTTGAGGCCAGAGTCTTTACTACATCTTACCTAAATGGTGCGATGGGGCAGTCTGTGAGGCTCAATGGGACACAGGGAGGGTGCTGGAAAGGCATCACTGGAGCAGGTGGATCTAGGGTGTTATGCCAGTGGACTGGACTAAGGGGAAACCCAGAGATGGCCCCTTAAGAGACTACTGGAGTGGACAAGTCTCCACCATATCCCCCCCAGGTTGTGTGGGTTTGTCCCCACGAGTCTAGGGGAGATCCAGAGATTGTGATTAACCATGGCATTTCACTGTCATATGAACATGAGACACCTTCCCTCACCCCCCAAAAAGAGAAACACAGTGTAAGGCAATGTTAGAAAACTTTAAATACAGGATCAAGATCAAATCGGTAAGGCATCACAGATTGTAAAAAGCAACCTTGGCTGCATTCAGCAAACAGGATGACAGAGAGCAAGCAACAGCCTTTGGAGGTGGTGTCGGGGTGGCCCAGCACACAGCCTGGACTGGAGGAGCACTGCTAAGCCGGGGTGGAGCATGGCCTGCAGGCTTCAGGCATTGCTCTGAGGTTGAGGTGACTGGGTTGAGCCTTGGGTCTCCAGTGCTGGGGCTAGTGTCGCTGCTAGGCCGCAGACTGCTGCTCCTCCCAGACTGGTTCCATGGAGGGGCCAAGCATCCTGTGTGCAGCTCCCTCACCAGCTCTCCCCACTGCCAGGCTCCAGATATTTAGTCCCTGCCTTGAGCCACTGAAGCTCCCAGGGTGTTTTCCACCCACTGGCACATGGTGCGTGTTCAGCTGAAGTCAATCACTTCGCTGTCACCAGCAGCCTCAGTTGCCCCTCCAATACTGCACCATTCTCTGCGTCTGGGGGTTTTCTAAATGTCTTCAGTGATTCTAAAGTCTAATGCAGGGGCCAAAACAAGGTTGGAACCACTGGTAAGATTCTAAACCAGGGGTTTAGCCGTATGGTTGATGTTCAGCTGGACCATCCAAAATCATTTAGTAGGTTTGAGCTAAGGGTGTAAACTTACAAAAGAAAAAAAAAAAGATAGACAAATGTGTCTGCTCACAGTACAGCTTGAAGGCCCTCAACCCACCCCCCCCCCCCCCCCGCCCCAAAGAACTCAAAGCCAGATGGACAGGCCACAACCCACCAAGCTGCTGGCTCTTAAGCCCTGGCGGGGAGTAACGGCAGGCTGGCCAGCCTGGCGGGGGGGGCGTGTTAAGGGCGGGCTGGCCGTTCAGCTAGTTGTTCAGCTTCCATACTGCGGTTCCAGAGCAGACTTCATCAATTTTCAAATGTCTGCAAATAAAGTTCTCAAAACATCGGTGCCTTTACCAAGGGAGGGGAAGGGAAAAGGACACATAAATGCTGGCAGTTGGTGGCTCCACCCTGAACCAGTCCTCCACACACTGTGGGCCTTGACCAGGGAGAGGAGGGAGCTGTCTGTTACCATTCTTTCTTCTTTTCATCCATGGAGACGCCCCCTGGGCCCAGGGCCACCACCAGGAGCAGGCCTCCGATCACGGACATGGTTTGGAAGAAGTCGTATTTCAGGAAGTCATGCATGGGCTTATAGACTGGAATGGTCCAGAAGGCGTTGAAATACACGTTGATAGCAAACAGCCAGACGACAAGAGTCAAAGCTGCCAGCTTGGTTTTAAAACCAATGGCCACTAAAATCATCAGAGCTGTACCCACAATATTCTGGATGATCTGCACAGAGAGAAAGTAAAGTCACTCAGACTAAAGGTCGGGAGGAAAGCAATGCTGTTTTTTTTATACACATGGCCCGATGAGTGCCAGGCTGACGCATTGCTATTGAACAGCAGTGGTGGTGGTTTTTAAATACCACTTGCTAAACCTGGAAGAAGTTTTGTATCTGTTAAAGATGGGACGAGACGATGTTAGTGTACCTCGCCAGCGTCGTGTGTTAAGACTGGATACCCGATGACCTAGGGTAATAGCCGGGGGGGGGGGGGGGGGGCGCCGGGAGGGGAGGACGCAGCTCTTGAAGATTGAGTCCGGTCACTGGAGTGGCTTTGTGTTCAAAGTGGACTTCCAGGCTTGCCTCTCTCACCTATGTCACTACTGCCTTGGGCCCTGCAGAGTCCTCAACAGCAAGACGACCCTCACCAGGTATGACCACCGGACCCTGAACCTTCTGGATTCCAGGCCATGGTTAAAACATTATGCTTTACTAATTAAACTCTATAAACTGTCCAGTCCATGGTATTCAGCTAAGCAGTAAGAAAATGGCTGAGAATGAAAATATGTACCAAGTAGAAGACTGTTGTTACACAAACACCTGGAACATGGTAGTGTGAACAGAGCATTTGGGACAGTTCTGGTAAGGGCTCAGGAGATAAGAAGACAGATTCTGGAACTTCTTAGTTCCTTAGTGACTAGAACTCCGATAAAAGCAGTAGTAGTCCGACTCTGTGATAACTCAGAAAGTGGACATATGACAGCAAAAGATGTAAAGCTGGCCATATGGTGGCCAGGCCTACACTTAACAGATACACTTAACAGTTCACCCGGCAGAAGGAACTTAGAAGCAGCAAAGTGCTCAAGGCTGCATGGCTACTTTGGGATGGGTTCCAGTGAAATGGAATAGAGGGGACTGAAAAAGAGACAATCCATAACCAGGTACCAGTGGCTCACACCCGTAATCCTGGCTACTCAGGAGGCTACAAGCTGATGATCAAAGCTTGAAGCCAACACCCGTAATCCTGGCTACTCAGGAGGCTACAAGCTGATGACCAAAGCTTGAAGCCAACTGGGGCAGAAAAAACTACAAAAACTACAAGTGTGTGTGTGTGTGTGTGTGTGTGTGTGTGTGTGTGTGTGTGTGTGTGTGTGTGTGTGTGTGTGTGTGTGTAGCCAACTGGGGCAGAAAAAACTACAAAAACTACAAGTGTGTGTGTGTGTGTGTGTGTGTGTGTGTGTGTGTGTGTGTGTGTGTGTGTGTGTGTAGCCAACTGGGGCAGAAAAAACTACAAAAACTACAAGTGTGTGTGTGTGTGTGTGTGTGTGTGTGTATGTAGCCAACTGGGGCAGAAACTACAAAAGTGTGTGTGTGTGTGTGTATACGCACACAGGCAAATGTACACATACAGTACTGGGACTTGAACTCAGGACCTGGCACTTTTGCTTGGCTTTTGACCAATCTGCCCAGTCTAGCTTTGAACCACAATCCTCAGATCTCAGCCTCCTGAACAGCTAGGAATACAGGCATGAGCCATTGGTATTCAGCTTGCTAGATTCTCATTTCCAATTAACCAACAAAAACCCAAAACTGGAGGCATGCCTCAAGTAATAAAAGTGAGAAAAAAGCCAAGGGAGAAGAATGCAAGGTCTGAGAGTTTATATACTACTGCCACAAAACAAAACAACAACAACAACAAAACCCTCAATTTATGATCAAAAGGGAAACAATGGAATTTGAGGATTTCTCAGCTTGGCCACATGGTAGAAGATAAAAAATCATATTCAGCTGACCACTCAGGAGGTTGAGATCACAGGAAAGTCTGTGGGACTCCCTTCTCCAATTAACCACCAAAAAGCAGGAAATGGAGTTGTGACTCAAGTGGTTGAATGCCAGCGTTGAGCAAAACAGTTCAAGGACAGTGCCTAGGCCCTGAGTCTAAACTTTAAAACTGGCACGCGTGCACATACACACAAATCATATTCAACAAGGAAAGTAAGTGGAGGCCAAATTTTTTTTTTTTTTTTGATTGTGGGGCCTGATCTCTAGGCCTGGGCACTGTCTCTCAGCTCTTCAGCTCAAGGCTAGAGCTCTACCACTTGAGCCACAGCGCCACTTCCAGCTTTTTTCTGCTTATGTAGTGCTGAGGAATTAAACCCAGGGCCTCATGCATGCAAGGCAAGAGCTCTACCAATGAACTATCTTCCCAGACCCCCCAATTTTTTTTCTAGTGGGCTGAACTTTTTTTCTAAACAGGGTCATGCTATGTAGCATGGCTAGCCTGAATTCACAATCCTTCTGTCTCAGCCTGCTAATTACTGAGATTATAGGCATGTTTCACCACATCCAGCTAAGCACTATCTTTTGGGGGGGGTTGGTCATGGGGCTTGAACTCTGGGCCTGAACACTGTCTCTCAGCTCTTCAGCTCAAGGCTAGCGCTTTACCACTTGAGCCACGGCACCACAGCCTGGGCTGGCTTTGAACTGGGATCCTCAGATCTCAGCCTCCTGAGTAGCTAGGATTGTAGGTGTGAGCCACTGGTGCCTAGCAAGCACTATCTTTAGTGTAAAAGGTTTGGGGAAGATTAAAACAAAGTCTCCTAGCAAGAGCAGACTGATTTACCAAGATAAGCTTAAGTGTTGGGCAGTGGATCTGTCATAACTCGATGACCCAATCCACTCAGCTACCTAGTCACAGCTCGCTTCTTCGACACACTTTGCCTGGCCAACGCTCCAAGCTGGCTTTGCTGATAAGAGCTGGCACGCAAAACAAATCAGCACAGGTATGAACCACAGGAAGGAGAGAAGTTAAAGTCGGACCTTGAGTGAAGGCGGGAGGCTGGGATCTGCTGAGAGGCAGATCCTTGGCATAAATAAGTGAGCTGGCAGGTGGGCACAGGGAGACAGGGCCTTTGAGAAGGCAGGAGTACTCACAGAAAAGAAGCTGGCATCAAAGTGAAGGAGGGTCATGAACATCAAGACCAGTAAGACTCTGCCTCCGAGCTGCATGTACTGCTTGGGAGAGCTCTCACGCATGGTGGGGACGCCCGCGAACATGCTCTTCCCTTCAGACCGGGACTCCGCTAAGAGCAGCAACAAGCCTCCTCCCAGGGCCAGGTTCCTGAGGAACAAAATGCCAGCTAGAAGCTAAAGCTCCTGGGGCACCTGTCCAACAGGCCAGACCAAGGCAGATCTGACAGGTGTACAGCACGGTCCTTCATTCTCTTTCTCCAAACCAAGTGTCAGCCTCAAGTTGAACCGTCAGTGAGAAGCCACCTGGAGGTGCTCAGAACCAAGTTCTGGTTGGTCTCCATTCTCACTGAGAGCCTCAATCAGGGGTGAGGAGAGAGGACTCATTCTCACCCCAGTACTGGGGCTCTGGATGCAGCACAGGCTATGCCGCACCCAACACTACCCTGGGGAAAGTGTTTATAGCTGCAGGGAGGGAGGTGAGGGATGGAGGACTGAATGGGAAGCACCTACCTCATCAAAAACTTCAAGTCCCATAAAATGCTGTAGGCAATCGTCTGAGGGTATGAAAGAGAAACCCGAGTCAGTGTTTTCAAATCAACTTCTGTTAATACCACTAGCCAGTTTATACAACATAAAGAATATGAAATACACAAAATTATTTTAGGACATGGAGGGCAGACTGGAGCACAGTAATTTGGTTCCATATTTCTCAAGGGGTGAGGGATGACCCTTGAACCTAAACATCAGAGGCTGTGCCTAGAACTTCCTAGAGAAAGTGGTTCTGAGACTACCAGTCTGGATTGAAAATCTGCTTTAAGTCTTTTATTTCTGCTCACAGGAAATGGAGGAAAAGATGGCTTAGTACTTGGAGCTGGCACCTGCTTGGGAGCAGCCTCCACAGCCTGCTCTGGCCCTGGTGCTTCTGAGCCTGCAAGGAGGAAATGCTAGTCACCTCTCCACAAGGAAAATTAGCTTGAAGCAGTCACACCTGCAGAAGGCTGGTCTGATGCTCAGCTCTACAGGGGCAAAGAAAAATGATAGCCAGCCACATACTTCATGAAACTGGTCCTGACTCTGAGAGCCACACTGTGCCCCTCGTACCTGCAGTGCTATGATTCCAAAAAGCCCGAAACAGGCATACTGTACGAAGTTCCTGCTCAACACCAGAATGCAGCCAGCTAGAAAGAGGACGGCAAGCATTAGGACAACTGCACATAGCTTCTGGGCAAACCCATACCACCACTCCACCTGACCTTCTGGTCCAGCTGCAGACAAAGTACCCCTTCCCCAAGCCAAACCACCACCCCACCTGGCCCTCTGGTCCAGTTGCAAAGTACCCCTTCCCCAAGCCAAAAGCAATTTCTGGGAGACTGAACAATAGGCAAGGTGCACAAGACATTATCTGGACTTGAACTGTCCAAAGCATGGGTGCCTTGCTGGGCCAGAGAGCAGGCCATTTCCCAGCACCAGAGGCCCACCAGGAACAGGACTATGACTGTTCTACCACAGACAGCTTTGTATGCCAGTCCTGGGGCTTGAACTTGGGGCCTGGGTACTCTCCCTGTGTTTTTCCTCAAGGCTCGTGTTCTACCACTTGACCCACAGCTCTACTTCCAGCGTTTTTGTTTCTTGTCAGTCGTGGGGCTTGAACTCTGGGCCTGGGTGCTGTCCCTAGCTCTTCAGCTCAAGGCTAGTTCTCTACCACTTGAGCCACAGCACCACTTCTAGTTTTCTGGTGGTTAATTGAAGGTAAGAGTCTCACAGATTTCCCTGCCCAGGCTGGCTTCAAATTGTGATCCTCTGATCTCAGCCTCCTGAATAGTTAGGATTACAGGCACGAGCCACCAGTACCTGGTTGAACTGACCAAGACTGGCAAGCACAAGTCTCCTTCTCCCAAGGGAGGAAAACTGCTACCCAAAACAAAGCCTGTCTATCAGGAGGAGGAGGATCTAAGTCCCCTTTCCCTTCTGACCTAAATTATCTCCTTTTTAGACACCTTCGTTAGCCACTGGACTCCAACAAGGACTCCAACAAGGACTGCATCTAACTTCTTTAGCAAACCCCAAAGCAATGAGCCCAGAACTAGGTACAAAAACCCCAAACACAAGATGGGCGCTGGTGGCTCACGCCTGTAATCCTAGCTACTCAGGAGGATGAAATCTGAGAATCGCAGTTCAAAGCCAGCCTGGATAGGAAAATCTGTTGAGACTCTTTTTTCTTTCTTTTTTTTTTTTTTATTTTGGTTGTGGGGCCTGAACTCTGGGCCTGGGCGCTGTCCCTCAGCTCTTCAGCTCAAGGCTAGCACTCTACCACTTGAGCCACAGCGCCACTTCCGGCTTTTTTCTTTTTGCTTATGTGGTGCTGAGCAATCGAACCCAGGGCCTCATGCATGCAAGGCAAGCGCTCTACCACTGAGCCACCTTCCCAGCCCCCATTGAGACTCTTATCTCCAGTTAAGAACCAGAAAACTGGAAGTGGCACTGTGGCTCAAGTAGGAGAGCACTAGCCTTGAGCTGAAGAGCGCAGGGACAGTGCCCAGGCCCAGAGTTCAAGCCCAACGACTGACAAAAATCACCCAAACACAGCCTAGTGACTCATGCCTGTAAATCCCAGCTACTCAGGAGGCTGAGATCTGAGGATCACAGTCCAAAGCCATCCTGGGCAGGAAAGTCCCTACGACTCATATCTCCAGTTAACCATCAGAAAACCAGAAGTAGAGCTGTGGCTCAAAGTGGTAGAGTGCTAGCCTTGAGCAAAAGAGCTCAGGAAAAGCACCCAGGCGCTAAGTTAAAGCCCTATGACTGGGGGAAAAAAAACCCACACAGAGAGCTGGTAGAACCGATGAAGACCCGCCTGTGCTGGAGACCCTCAAGAGAGAGCAGAAAGGACTGAGAGTTCGGAAGGCCTTCTCCCAACACACTCTCCTCGTAATGCTGAGTGTTTCCTGGAAAGGTCAGTCCTGGCTTAACTGGAACTGAGATTTCTACCTTGGGTGGGGGCTAACTCTACCCTAAACTGTGTGGGAGACTGAGGGTAGACTTAGGTTTATGCAAATTGTAAGCTATTTACAGTTTAGCTCTTCTTCCCAGAATGAGAAGGTCATCTACCACTTGTATACAAAACCTTGTCTCACATTGAAGTTTGTACTTCCTTGCACAAGACCAATAAAAACCTTGGTTAATGGAGCGTTGGGATCTGCCGCTGACGTGAGGCTCCGGGTCTTCTAGTACCCCAACCTCAGTTCCACAGTCCAGTCTCCGTTACTGCCTCGCTCCTGGTCGCCGGGGATCAAGGAGCTTGCAGCCAGTTGCAACACTCAAGTCCACACGCACTGTCCCCATCACCACCAACCCTGTGCTCTGGGCCTGGCATTACAGAGGGAACAGGGGCCCTGAGGCATCCGGACAAGCTCCAGAGCCACTTACTCAGCTGTCCAAGCAGGTTGAGGAACACGAAGGATGAGGCCAGCAGGTAGCCACAGCTCCAGGTGGTGTCGATGTAGTCACGCTGTTCACTCCACTGGAACCACATGCGGATGCCGTCTTCAAGGAAGGTGCTGATCAGGCAGAGGCGCGCCACGTGAGGCAGGTACTGCTTGGTGACTCGCAGGAACTAGGGGCCACAGAAGGTGCTGGTGAGGCGGCTGCAGCCTGGAGCCCAGGACCACGACAGGCACTTCCCAGGGCAGGTGAGTGAGCAGTGGGACAGGAGAGACAACCAGCACTGGGCAAGAGCCCTCAGCAGCCCCGGTGCCTCCCCAGGGCAGACGGTGGGCTCCACCTGCTCCGGGAGCTCCCCTGAAAGTCTGGACACACAATAATCCAAGGCTCAGTCCCAGAGCACAGACCCCACAGGACGATGCCCTTCTGTTATTGCCACAGCCACAGCTTCTATGTTCAGTTAAAGGCATGCACAGCTGTCCTGGGCACCGGAAGATGTTCAGCAGCCAACACCCCTGACCTTCACCCACAGATGTCATGACAGACCCCCAAACATGGTACCAAAATGCCTCCATCATTGCCACAATCCAGCTCCCTGTGTTACATTCAGAGCACAACTCCAAAGGGATGAGGGCTGGGCGCTGGTGGCTCACATCTGTAATCCTAGATACCTAGGAGGCTGAGATCTGAGGATCACAGGTCAAAGCGAGCTCAGCAAAAAAGTCTGTAAGACTCATCTCCAATTAACCAAACAAAATGGAAGTGAAGCTGTGGCTCTAGTGGTACAGTGTTAGCCTTGAGCAAAAAAACTCAGGACAGCATCAGGGGCCAGCGTTCAAGCCCAGGACAGACACAGACAGACAGACACACACACACACACACACACACACACACACACACACACACACACACACACACACGGGGAAGGGGGGGGAGGGTGGAATGAGACCCTCCCACCCCCCCCCACACACACAGGGTGGGGAGGGGGATGAGTCCCCCAGGCTAACCTGGCTCTAAGCAATGCTGGGAAAGGTTGGACACAGCTAGATGCTGAGGCCTGGCCCAGCATCTCCCCAGTGATGAGCTCCTCCAGACAGAATAGACCCTACAGAGATGATGGCCACATGGTTTGCCAGCCTGCAGGTGCCACTTGTACAGTTCTCCAATGTCCAGAGCAGCAAAGGGCAGAAGAGTGTGGCTGGGAAGGTGGCTCAGTGGTAGAGCGCTTGCCTTGCATGCCTGAGGCCCTGGGTTCGATTCCTCAGCACCACATAAGCAAAAAGAAAAAAGCCAGAAGTGGTGCTGTGGCTCAAGTGGTAGAGCACTAGCCTTGAGCTGAAGAGCTGAGGGACAGCACCCAGGCCCAGAGCTCAGGCCTCACGACCGGACCCAAAAAGTAAATAAATAAATAAAAGAAAAAAGCCAGAAGTGGCGCTGTGGCTCAAGTGGTAGAGTGCTAGCCTTGAGCTGAAGAGCTGAGGGACAGCCTAGGCCAGAGTTCAGGCCCCACGACCAGACCCAAAATAATTTAAAAAGGCAGGAGAGAGCTGTGCATGCTGCAGAAGACTGGCCTTTCCCACCCCAACAAGCTCCCTCCAGAAAGCTCTACAGCCCACAGGGCAACTCAGCCCAACCATGCACAAAACATGGAACTGCCACAGCTATTGCCCAAGAAGTGTTAGGATGTTCTTAAAGCCCGTATAACCTGAGCAAGTTAAAAACTGCTGTGATGGACAAGCTCTCAACAGCAACAAGCCAATGTGTCAAACCACTGGCAAAGGTGGGGGAAAGCACTCAGGGCTTTTGTATGTCCCCGTGAATGGGACACTTGTGAGCGCTCAGTCAGGAAGCCAGCACACTCTGTCGAAGTCAGGTCCAAATGCCACGCAGGTGCATCACACTGCCCTTCGGAGCTGAGCCACACGGCCAAAGAATTCCAAGGAACACAAAGGCCTGGGGCTGAAGAACAGGAGACCCACCCATGGGGTGATGTGTCAGGCAGAGTCCACAGGGCAGAATCTGTCCCTTCCAGGAGCAGGCCAGTGAAGGTCAGCTGCACAGTCTTACTCCTGTATTCACAGGAATACAGATGTACGTACCAGTTCCCAAAATTACAGCATTTTAAAAGTCACAGGAATACAGAGATGTACATACCAGTTCCCAAAATTACAGCATTTTAAAAAGTTGTTTCAGGCCAGGCGCTGGTGGCTCACACCTGTCATCCTAGCTATCTAGGAGGCTGAGATCTGAGGATCACGGTTCAAAGCCAGTCCAGGCAGAGAGGTCCATGAGACATATCTCCAATAAACTACCAAAAAAAGCTGTCAAGTAGAGCTGTGGCTCAAGTGGTAGAGGGCTAGCTTTGAGCAAAAACAAGCCCGGGGACAGCACCCAGACCCTGAGTTCAAGCCCTGGGATTAACTATATAAAAAACAACGTAAAAAAATATTGTTTCAAGGGCTGGGACGGTGGCTCAGTGGCAGAGCGCTTGCCTTGCATGCCTGAGGCCCTGGGTTCGATTCCTCAGCACCACATAAAGAAAAAAGCCGGAAGTGGCACTGTGGCTCAAGTGGTAGAGCATTAGCCTTGAGCTGAAGAGCTGAGGGACAGCACCCAGGCCCAGAGTTCAGGCCCCACGACCAGACCCCCCCCCCCCAAAAAATATTGTTTCAAGGTCTCAAAACCAAAAACAGAGCCAGGCACTGGTAGCTCACACCTGTAATCCTAGCTATTTAGGAGGCTGAGATCTCATGATCGCAGTTTGAAGCCAGCCCAGGCAGAAAAGTCCCCATGAGACTGTTATCTCCAATTAACCACTCAAAAACCAGAAGTGGCAATGTAGCTCAAGAGGTAGAGTGCTAGGTTTGAGCACTAAGAGACTCAGGGACTGCACTCCGGCCCTGAGTTCAAGCCCCATAACCAATCCAAAAAAAGAGGTCCTCCATACATCCTGGTCAATGTTAGGGCTCCTGCAGAGCACCTACACACTGCTCCAGCAACAAGTGTGGGGCAGCTGCTGCCACATTCCACCCAGTCTCTCCTCATGCCCTAATGCTCTTGATGCGCTCAGCAACCGTGCAATCACCCCTTCTGTGGGAGAGATAAACACCATGTCCGTGGCTCCGGATTTAGCACTGCTCTGAGGATCGACCTGCACTTTGTGCCCCCATCAAGCAGCCTTGGCAATGACATGGGACTACACCTGGGCAAAAGCCACCACCAGGAGGTGTTGAACAGAAGCTGGACAGGTGGCAGCAGGACCTCCAGGGGGGTGGACCCCAAGACACCAGGAGGCAGACACCAGAGGTGTTCTGACTTGCTTCCAAATGAGCAGTAAGCCGATTCTGCTGACATGATTACACAGGGGCTGTGCCCACCCCAGGTAAGCAAACCAGCCCCACCCTGATGACGCCTGATGGGGCCAGATCCACCTCAGCATAAGGACTTTCACTGAGCATGCTCATTTGCCACCAGCAGTCTTCAAGACTGAGAACGTGGTTCAAAGCCTCCTGATGAGTCTGCTACCCTTAATTGGAGTGTCTGGGTCAATAGGATTAAAGAGCAAGAGGAGGGGGCCAAAAAGAGCAGGTAGGCCTCCCTCCCCTACCAGCATGGGTGGGAGGATCAACACAGTGATATGCACATCTGCAGATATTGTGCACTGAAATAAGCATGTCTGCTGCTTGGCAGCTCTGATTTCAAAGGCAAGCGAGAATGGGCACAAGGTGCCCCCATTTCATATGCATGCTGGCCACGCACCATTCAGATTGGTCCCAGACTTGCAAGGTGCCACTCCAGAAGGCATCTCATAGCCCCTGTCCTCTCAGCACAGCAGAAAGGAGTCCTCAACCCAGGCAGGACAGCAGCACGGCTGTGAGAGCAGCCATGTGGCAGGGACACAGGCACTGCCAGCGTCCCACACATCAGCCCATGCCGGCCACGAGCACCTGAGCCTGCCTGTGAGCATGGTTCTCGTTATACAACTTGGATGGCTTGCAGGAAGAGGCAAGTCAGTCCACCTCAATGAGCCTCACAACCAAGAAGGATGTGGCATACAAGCAACGAAACATGCAAGTAACTCAAGAAATGAGGAAACCAGGAGCTGATAGTTCACATTTGTAATCTTAGCTAGGAGATCTGAAGATAACAGTTTGCAGCCAGCTCGGACAAACAAATCCAAGACTTATCTCCAATTAACCAGCAAATAGTAGAGCTCAAGTGATAGAGCGCCAGCCTTGAGCTTAAAAAAGCTAAGGCAAGAGTGTAAAGACCAATACCAGCACGCACATACACACACCCATGAGGAAATCTGTCCCACAGAGTTACCAACAAAGAGGTCTGAAGGGGTTAGAAACAGAGACAGACCTGACCCAGACAGGACCAGAACACAGGGGTCATAACCACATAGCCACCTGGAGCCACACAGCACACAAGCATCAACATTCTGTTCGTGTTCAGGGCAAAAAAGAATTGAGAACACAGCCCTCAGTTCATAAGGATGTTGAGAAAAAGGCAGCTTTGGGGTTGCAACATTCAATGGCCCACAGCCTATGCATCCTGTGCTGAGCAACCACCCTGCACCGTGGCGTGAGCAGTGAGTCATGCGCCATTCACACGCTGCTGCTGCACCCACTGATGATGTCAAGGGCCCTCTGCCTCAGAATACCCTGATTCCTCTCCTAGGGACCTGGGGATGATGAAAGTTTGGCAGAGGCTGGGAGGGTGGCTTAGTGTGGAGTGCTCGCCGAGCATGCATGAAGCCCTGGGATCGATTCCTCAGCACCACATACACAGAAAAGGTCAGAAGTGGTGTTGTGCCAGCCTTGAGCAAAAGAAGCTCAGAGAAGTGCCCAGGCACTGAGGTGGTCCAGCCCCAGGACTAACCAAAAAAAAAAAAGTATGACAGAGGCTGGGAATGTAGCTTAGTGGTAGAGTGCTTGCCTAGCATGCATGAAGCCCTGGGTTTGATTCCTCAACACCACACAAACAAAAAATAATTAAAAGTTTGACAGAGCCGGGTGCCAATGGCTCACGCCAGTAATCCTAGCCACTCAGGGAGCTGAGATCTGGGGATTGTGGTTCAAAGCCAGCCCAGGCAGGAAAGTTCATGAGACTCTAATCTCCAATTAACCACCAGAAAACTGGAAGTGACACTGTGGTTCAAGTGGTAGAGTGCTAGCCTTGAGCTAAAGAGATGAGGGACAGCGCCCAGGCCCAGAGTTCAGTTCAAGACCCACAACTGACAAAAAAAAAAAAAAGTTTGACAGAAGTCTCACAAAGGGGAAGGGTGTGACTCACCTTCTAGGAAAAGCCACTAACCAGGCTCCCCTTTGCCTCCTCAATGCTCCCCAGAAGGGGGCGCTGGTTTTTTAACCTCCTGTCAAGACCTGAAAGCAGTCTGCTCCCCAGTCCTTCATGGTAGAGGGCAGGCAGGCCCTTGGTGGAGGTGACAGAGACCCTCACCATCAGCAAAACACACCACGTCAGGGGACACACTGTTAATAACAAGGCAACTAATGCTACACCCAGGGTCCAGGGGACCTTGATAAGACCTTCTCCTGGTGCCTCTAGCTAAACAAAAGCCTGGCCATCTCCTAGCTCCCAGAGCTAGGGTAGCTCTGCCACCCTTAAGAACAGGTAAAAGCACCAGAAGGCACAGCAGAGAGTAGGGCCCCCTGCAGCTTCCTGTCACCTTGGTGACAGCCACTAAGTAGAACCCATTAAGTGCTAATGCTCCTGGTTACCAGTACAAATGGGCTGAGAGGCTTACACTGCAGTCTAAAAACCGAGAGTAGCATCTGTAGCATACTGACGTTATTTTGGATTGCTGAGTTCCTGAGTTTCTGGTCCCTTCCAATCTGGTCTCCAATGGCTTCCTTCTGAACACCCAGCTCCTGTGGAGAGCACATCTCAGCACTTTCTCCACAGCCTGGCTTCTAAGGAGCAAGAGGACACCGTCCCTGGCTGCCAAGGGCAAGGAGGTTGATGCCAGGGGCAGAGATGCAGCTCACAAGAGCCAGCCAGCAGAAGCCAACCCATGTGCTCCCCGTGGACTGGCCTCTCCCATCAGAAGGAAAGGTCACAGGCCTCCACCCATCAGAAGGAAAGGTCACAGTTCCAACAAGCAAGGAGGATGCTGGCACCTGGCTAGCCTGCCTCAGCCCTGGGAGGATGAAGCCAGGGGCCCACCTACCACAGTGAGGGGATAACAAGGCAGTGTGCATGGAGACCTGGTCCACTTAGTACTGTCATGGCTATCAGAGTGCATCTGTCTTAGCAGCCCAGACTTTCTGGGCAAACCCATCACTTCACTTTTGCTTTTGCTTTCTGCAGACAAGTTTAGATAGAATGGATACAGCATATTATCTGACAGTGATCTCAGTAATTAAGACTCCATTCTCCTTCTCAGCAAGTTAGATCCTCATTGAGAAGCCTGGACTCTCTCTCAGCACCTTCTTTACTGAAAAACAGGTTTAAAGTATTACAAGTGAACGTTCAAGACAAAAGCAGCCCCTCGCCCCGACAGCTGGTTAGATTTTGGTGACAAAAAGACGTCATGTGGCTCTGTGCACCATTGCCCATTCACAGGTAGCAGAGATGGTCCTAATCCTGGTTCAGAAGATGAGGAGTCATACCCTGCCCCCCAGCCACCACTGCCCTCTGCCAGCAGCCACAAAGAAGCTCCTGAGACATTCTGTGCTACTACCCAGCTGGACTCCTATGCTGAAGGTAGGAGCCCTTCTGAACCTGGCATGTTTTCTAAGCAGCGGGGCCTCCTACCACACTAGCCAGAATGCCAGACCCTGGAAGCAAGCTACACAGGGCATTAGCCAGGGAGCTGGAGACCCAGGATTTCCCACTGGGCTGGTGCCACTGATCAGTCCAGGAGCCCCAGCCGGTATGACCTTTCTCAGCAACTTGGCTGAAGTTGGTCCTGTGTCCCCACTAGGGCCTTCCCAGTAGCATGATGCTGTTTGAAGCAAAACAAAACACAGGGAGAAAAACGATTATGTAAAGAGCTCCAGAACTTTCTTCAGTAGAAAATCTATCATTTGGTAGTTGGCAACAGCTTGACTGGAGACATTTTATCTGGGTTTGGTTATGAAATTCATCTGCAAAACTGAGGGCTTTCCAGGCTGAAGAGCGAGGTGAGTGTATGTACCTCTCTATTCCCTCGGCAAACCCAGCTATCTTTTTGAGCTGCTACTTAAGGAAATAAAACTGGGTCACTAAAAATCATGTCAATGCTGAGTGCTGCCATTGGCTCATGCCTGTAACAGTAGCTACTCAGGAGGTTGAGATCTGAGGATAGCTATTTGAAACTCACTAAGGCAAGTGAGACTTTTATCTCCAATTAACTACCAAAAAACAAAAAACAAAGCTGGAAGTGGAGCTGTAGCTCAAATGGTTGAGGGCTAGCCTTCAGTGGAAAAGCTTAGGGACAGTGTCCCAGGCCTGAGTTCGAGCCCAATGAGTCACACTCACACACACACTCGTGTCTGTGAAAACTAACGAGGCCCACCTGAGTCTTGGGAACTGTCTTTGTGAGGAACATACTTGTAAAGCTGTGTCTGCACACATCAAGCCCTGCCTGACCATAGGAGAAAAGTGATTCCTCCAAACTGCTTTTGAACGATCAGCCCGCACCAACAGACCCGACAGAACAGGGGGAGAAAGACGCCACTCCATCCAGCAGCAACTGGCCGGATAATGCTCACTTCTTCCACACACACACAGGTCGGCCTGCTTACTCAGTGCCACCCCCCCATAAAAAACCAAGAGCCGTCACCGCTCCATGCTGGCGCGGCCTCCCGTAGGCTACAGCCGGAGAAAGGCTGGGAGGTGGGCCGGGCACTGGCCCGCCCGCAAGCTCAAACGGCATAGCGGGACGCTCGGGAGTAAAGGGCGCTCGCCTACCGCCCCCCGCGCGCGCGGGCGCGGGCGCGGGCGCGGGCACGGGCGCGGGCACGGCGCACGCGCCCCGCGCGCTCGCAGCCCGGGTCTTCGCTCTTCCGGGACCGGATCTGCCCACCTGGCGGCTCTGGGACCGCGTTGAGCCCCCTCCGGGCTCTCCCCCGCCACCTGTACACTTCTGGAAGGGGGCCGGGGCGCGGGCCTCCCCTCCTCCCGGCGGCGTCCGGACGCCCGTTCACCGCAGCCAGGGCAGAGTCCACGCCCGAGCGGGAGGGGGCAGGCCGGGCCGGGGACCCCGAGTCCGGCCCGCCGGGGCAGGCAGGGGTCGGGGCTTCCCCGGGACGCGGCCGTGCCCCGCCCGCCCCGGAGGGCGCTCCATCGGGCCTCCCGCGGTTCAAAGGGCAGAGGGCACCCCCGCCCCAGCGCAGCGCCGAGCCCCCCGCCCCCGGCGGCCCGGCCGACCCCCGGGACGCTCCCGGCCCCTCGCCCTCCGGGGGTCCAGCCGCCCCCGGCCGCCCCCGGCCGCCCGCGGCCCCTCGCCCTCCGGGGGCCCGGCCGACCCCCGGGACGCTCCCGGCCCCTCGCCCTCCGGGGGCCCGGCCGCCCCCGGCCGCCCGCGGCCCCTCGCCCTCCGGGGGCCCGGCCGACCCCCGGGACGCTCCCGGCCCCTCGCCCTCCGGGGGCCCGGCCGCCCCCGGCCGCCCGCGGCCCCTCGCCCTCCGGGGGCCCGGCCGACCCCCGGGACGCTCCCGGCGGAGGGGGGCCGCGCCGGGCCGGGGGGGGCGGCGGCAGGGGGAGGCCGGGCCCCGCGCCGCGCCGGGAACGGCGAGGGCGTCCAGGCCGAGCCCCGGGGCCGAGCGTGCGGGGCGGCGGGCCGCACCTGGTCGGCGAAGTCCTCGGCCGTGCCCATCAGGTCGTTCTGGCCCATGGCGGCGGCAGGCTCTGCTGGCGGCTCCTCGGCGCTCGGCGCTCACGCCCGCTGCGGCCTCCACAGGAAGTGCCCGGCGGCCGGCCTCGCTGCGCGGCGGCGGCTCCAGCGGCTGCCACGTAGGCCAAGCCTTAAAGGGGCCGCGCCGCCCGCTGGGCTCCGCCCCGCCCGCAGCGCGCCCTTTCCGCGCGGGGCCGCCCCCGCACGCACAAAGCCACGCCCGCCACCCGTCGCCGCCCCGCCTTGCGCGCTCCAAGCCCCGCGCAGCGCGCTCCGGGCCCCGCCCTCTAGGCCCGGCCGGCCAGCCACAGCCTCCGTCACCACGAGGCACCGCCCATCGCGCTGAGGCCCCGCCCACCACTCGCCCTCGAGGCCCCACCCGTTGATCGTCTCCGCCCCGCCCACCTGGCTCGTGCCCCGCCTATTTTCCTCGGTCGCCCCGCCCTCCACGAGCCGGGTCCCTCCCATTGCCCTCGCTGCCCCGCCCCCCACCTGCAAGGCCGCGCCCCTCGCCCGCGGGTCCCAGGTGCGCTCTCCATCCCGGCCCGCCGCTGCCCGTCCAGGGGCGTGGTGCTGTGGGCCGTCCTGCGGACGCACGCCGGGATGGGGGGCGAGGGAGCACGTCGGCTGAGGGTCGCCTCGGGCGGCCGCGGTGAGGGGCGGGGCCCCTGGCGTGGTCACGACTGCGCATGCTCACCCGCGCTCGAGGGGCGGACGAGCCGCGCCGAGCGGACGGCGAGGGCGCCGGTGTCGGTCCGGAGACTATGGACAAGTACCAGGTGCCGAGCTGGCCTCTGGCTGGGAGGCCGGGGCTGCCCGGGCGGAGGGTCCTCGGTGAGCCCGCGGGGTGGCGGTCACGGCCGCGGAGGCCGTGCCCCGCGGGCGGGGACCGCGCCCCGGCCAGGGCCAGCCTCCATCTTGTCGCGGGGCCTCGGTGTGGGGCGCCGCAGCTGCCCGGCCAGGGAGGAGGACAGCCCCTCGCCCCTTCCCCACGGCCGGGGCCTCGAGTCCCAGGCCCGGGGACCTGCCCGGGACGCAGGCCGGGCGTCCACTTCACCTTCCCGGTGAGGGGAGACAGGGGTGAGGATGGCCGGGGCAGGCTGAAACGCTGCTGACCGGGCTGTAACTCCTAGCCTCGACTTGCTGCCCCAAGCCCAGGCCTCAGTGTTCCTGTCTGGTTCTGTCCTCCGAGCAGAGGCGAGGCCGTCCACAAGGGCCCGGTGACCCTCGCGTGGGTCTGCACCCCATGGTGCTCCTGAGTCAGGTTCCATCCCACACACAGCCCTCTGCCTCCTTGGCCCGCGCTGACCAGTGAGTGGTCTGTTCCCCGCCGGCCACCCCTCTGCTGAGTTCTGGCTCGGTGGTCATCTCTGTGGGGTTGGTTCAGATCACAGCCTCTGGACTCAGACCCTGGGGTGTGAATCAGATCCAGGCCACTACACTTAATGTCATAGCTTTAGGCCCGGACTTTGCTTCCTGTGCCCCAGTTTCCTCCACTATAAACACGGAGGTAACACCATAGTGAGGCTGCCGGGTGCTTGGTGTAAGTCTGGGCACTAGGGTGGTTACGGCTTTGCTTTCTCCCTACGGTAGTCACTTGGAGGTGAATGCTGGAAGTTGAGACCCCTGTGCCCAAGGGCACATCATATATGTCTGATGGTCCTCAGGGGTCAGAAAGATGTAGAGAGAGTCTGAGAACTGGCCTGGGGAGATAGCATTGGGTCCCCCTTTGGGGAACCTTCTTGCCATTTCCTCTCCTGTACCATGGGGCAGACCCTGCCAGCCCCTCGGGGGAAGTTGGGGCAACCAGCATGGGAGCTGGACTTAATGCGGGGGAGCACAGAGCAGTGTGCAGCATTTCCTGAGAACATCTTACTGTTTGTTGGTAGATTTTGAATCAATTGAGTCCTGGAGCCTTGGGAGTGAATCTGGTGGTGGAGGAAATAGAAACTAATGAGAAGCTCTTGATAAAACAGGTGAGGGTTTGTGAAGCTCTGTGACTGGGGGTGTGGCTCTGTCTGTAGAGCTGCTCTCCAAGCTCATGCTCATACTCCCTAAGTTAGAGAAAGGCTTTTTGGCCTTTCTCTTGGCCAGCAGGCAGAGGACTAGCCTCGCTCCAACAGATACGAGGCATGGCCTCCACTCCTCAGGCGTCCTGCACCTTGTCTTGATGGAGAACCAGTCCTCATCTTTATTCCACCAACCACAACACTAAGCATGTGCCAGCACCGGGACTTGAACTCAGGGCTTCTTGCTCTTGCTTGGCTTTTTTGCTCAAGGCTGAGACTCTATCATTTGAGCTACATCTCTGCTTTCAGCTTTTTTTCCCCCCTGGAGATAAGAATCTCATGGGCTTTTCTGCCTCAGCTGGCTTTTTGCTTTTTTTTTTTTTTTGAACTCTGGACTCTGGGCCTAGGCGCTGTCCCTCAGCTCTTCAGCTCAAGGCAAGTGCTCTACCACTTGAGCCACAGCGCCATTTCCAGTTTTCTGGTGATTTATTGGAGATCAGAATCTCATGGACTCTTCTGCCCGGGCTGGCTTTGAACTGTGATCCTCAGATTTCAGCTTCCTAAGTAGCTAGGATTACTAGCATGAGCCACCAGTGGGGGCCCAACAGACTTTGAATTACAATACTCAAATCTCACCCTGCCAAATAACTAGGATTAGAAGTATGCGCCACCAGCAACCATCTTTTCCTAAGCATTAATGAACTAGTTTTCACAGGAAAGGTATTGAAGTTAATTCCCCCCCCCCCCCAACAGTTTGCAGATTGTCTCAAGTCACTACCATACCTTTCTCCTAGCCTAGTGCCTGTCTAGCCTCCCACCCCATTTTGCACCAGGAGCTAGACCTGGCCATACTCATCTCCTCATGTGGGATGAGTGCTTATTTTCAGTTTTGAATTCAAACAAAAACTGATAAACATCCTTGTGTCTTTGTTTTTGTTTGTTTTTTGGGGGGATCCGGTCATCGGGCCTGAACTCTGGGGCTGGGCGCTGTCCCTCAGCTCTTCAGCTCAAGGCTAGCGCTCTACCTCTTAAGCCACAGCGCCACTTCCGGCTTTTTTCTTTTTTGCTTATGTGGTGCTGAGGAATCCAGGGCCTTATGCATGCAAGGCAAGCGCCCTACTACTGAGCCACCTTCCCAGCCCCATGTTTTTGTTTTTTAATTGAACATCCATGATTTCCTTAGGAAAAATCCCTAGAATGGGATTTCTGAGTATTTTGTAGGCTCTCAGTTAGTATATTTGACTGATTTGTATTCACAGACTTGATAATAGTTATGATGATGATGGTGGTAATTGTGGGTGGTGGTGGTGGTAGTGGTGATGGTGATGATGATGGTGGTGGTGGTAGTAGTGGTGATGATGATGGTGATAGTGGTGGGGGTTGGTACTGGTGATAGAGGTGGTAATGGTGGTAGTGGTGATAGTGGTGGTGGTAGTAACGATGGTGATAAGGGTGGTGGTGGTGACAGTGGTAATGGTGGTAGTGATGATGGTGGTGGTGATGGTGGTGGTAACAATGGTGATGGTAGTGTTGGTGATTATGATGGAGGTTCACTGAACAGTTACTGAGCTGGTCGTCTTGTACCCCTGCAGGTGGAATGCATCGATGAACATCATGCCAACGAGGCTCTGGAGGAGGTAACTGTCTGGTTGGCTTCCTCTCTAGAGGAATAGGATTCAGACTGGGAAACTGGTCTGTGCCCTGTTGAGTGCCAGCTGAAGGGAAGCCTGGAGGGTCACAGTGTGCTCTTGCACAGGCTACTAAGGGAGCCCATGTCCAAATGCCCGCTCCTAGATGCTACCCAAGCGCTGCCACGTAGGACCCTTGCTCCTAGAGAAGTTGAAAGGTATCTGGTGGCTCAGTCCATAGGCTAATTTATCAGTAACTATGTTTTAAATTTTTTGTTTTTGGCTGGGCACTGGTGGCTCACACTTAAAATTCTAGCTACTCGGAGGCTGAGATCTGACGGTCACCATTTGAAGCCAGCCCGGGCAGGAAAGCCTGTGAGACTCTTATCTCCAATGAACCACCATTAGTTAAAACCAGAAGTGGGGGCTGGGGAAGTGACTCACTGGTAGAGCACTTGCCTTGCATGCATAAAGCCCTGGGTTTGATTCCTCAGCACCACATAAGCAGAAAAAGCCAGAAGTGTCACTGTGGCTCAAGTGGTAGAGCACTAGCCTTGAGCGGAAGAGCTGAGGGACAGCGCCCAGGCCCAGAGTTCAGGCCACACAACCAATCAAAAAAGAAAAAATAAATAAAACAACCAGAAGTGGTGCTGTGGCTCAAAATGGTAGCTTTGCGTGCAAAAGCTCAGGGACAGTGCTCAGGCTCCGAATTCAAAGCCCCATGGCCAAAATAAATAAATAATAAATAAAATCTTTTTTCTTCAGGGCTGCACATGAAGCTCAGTGTTGGAACACTGGCTTGCCTAACATGTGTAAGGCTTTTGATTCTATCCCAACACTGAAAAGAGCAAGAGATGGCAGGGCGGGGGGAGAAAAAGAAAGGAACAGTAAATGGGTAAATTATCCTTAATTCTGCCCCTCATAACTGACCACTAGTGTCCTCCTGATTTATAGACAGTAATGACAGTGGCCAGTTTAATACACAGAGCCTCTGAGCAGTGCTCTGTCTCTGGGACTTCTCCGGGGTGAGTTGTGTCTCCTTGGAACGGTCCTGCTGGGATGGCCTGCCTTGCTCTTTGCCAGCCATCACCTCCCGGGTCTGCAGCATAGCTGCAGGGTGATGATTGGCCGGGGCATGTGGGGCACGTGGAATTCCCCTTCCGCACTGCTCCCTTCCACATCCCCAGGCACGCAGCCCTGCCAGTGCCATCGGGCTCAAGGCTCCAGAGTGGCCATTGTGGTCAGACGCCTGGGGTTCTTGCCCAAGTCCTTTCCCTGGGAGAAGAGGCTGCAGAAGTTCTTGGTTGGATAACCTGCCCTGGGTCGCACACCTTCTGAGGCCCAGCCCTTCCTTCACCTCCTCCATGTCTGCCCTGTACCTGCACTGGCTCACCAGGGGCAGAGTCCACAGCCTCCACCATTTGTCTTTTTGTTTGTTTTTGTTTTGCAATGCTGCAATCAAGTCCAGGTCTTACACATGCTAGGAAAGTGCATACCTCCAGCCCGCCTTGTTTTCACATAAGCAAGTGAGGCTCAGAGAGGTTGAGGAGTCTGTCTCAGTCACACAACATGCCAGAATATGCTAGAGATGAGCCTCTAGCTTCCATGCACCAACAGTACAGACTCTCTGTACCCACCCGCTGCCTGCCCAGATCCAGCAGCTGACATTTTTGTTGGGATCTATGACAAAGAGCTCCACCAGTTAAACACTGGCTCCCCTCACCCCTGCCCCTCTGCTCTGGTCTCTGCAGCTGATGCCTCTACTGAAGCTCCAGCATGCCCACATCTCCGTGTACCAGGAGCTCTTCATCATGTGGAACAGAAAGGTGGGTCCGAATGGCCCTGCGGCCCTGCACTCATGGCTCACGCCCAAGATCTGAGACTCATGGCTTGAAGCCAGCCCTGGCAGGGAAGTCCGTGGGATTCTTTATTTTATTTTATTTTTTTGTGCGGCCATGGGGCTTGAACTCTGGGCCTGGGCGCTGTCCCTCAGCTCTTCAGCTCAAGGCGAGCGCTCTACCACTTGAGCTACAGCGCCACTTCTGGTTTTCTGGTGGTTTATTGGAGATAGGAGTCTCACGGTCTCTCCTGCCCAGGCTGGCTTTGAACCGCGATCCTCAGATCTCAGCCTCCTGAGTAGCTAGGATTACAGGCATGAGCCACCAGCGCCCGGCCGTGGAATTCTTATCTCCAGTTAACCACCCCAAAACCTGGAAGTAGAGTTGTGGCTTAAGTGGTAGAGTGAAAAAGCTCAAGGATAGTGTCCGGGCCCTGAGTTCAAACCCCAGAACTAGCAACTGATCCTCCAGGTTTTCAGGCTAGGAGGCATAAGTAGGTGCCCTGACTCCAGTAGTCTGTGTGTGCGGCTTCAGGGCTGCCCTGGCTTTGGGGCAGGAGTGCTCCTGCTCCCTCAGAGAGGACTGAAGTGGAGGAGGGAAGGGAGAGGGGGAAGCTGAGGCCAAGGGGGATGGGAGTCCCAGTGGCTGGGCCACATCTCCACATCAGCCTGTGTCCCTGCCTAGGCTGGAAACCCCTTACACACGTGTTCCCCCACATCTGGGTTCTGAGGAAGCCTGCGGGGAGCCCTCATTCCATGCATGCACCAAAGTATCTCCTGAGACACACTGTGTTGCTCTTAGGGAGGAGCAGAGCTATCCCCTGCTGGCCCAAGGCAGGACTGGCTCCTGGGGAAAAGTACTCCCCTGAGCCCTGAAGGAGCAGTTACTCCAAAAGGGGAGAGGGTGGGTCCGTAGGAGGGACCCCCACATGCAGCGGTCAGAGGCAACTGGAGCTTTTGGCAAAGTCTAGGATGCTGAATATAGCCAGAGCCCAGCGGGGCCCCACAGGGAGAGACGGGGACCCTCAGGAAGAGACAGGAGACCCCGCCAGCAGCGTCCCCATGGCAGCAATCAGAGGACGCTTGGCCCATAGGGCACCCAGACCGGCTCAGGGTCCTCGTGTCCCGGCAGATCTCCTCTCTGTTCCTCTGCATGGTGATGGAATACAGCAAGGAAACCCTGCTGGATGTCATTGAGAATAAGAGGAAGAAAAAAGCGGCCATAGACACCGGGGTAAGAGGCCTCCGAGTCAGCAAGCCTGGGGAACATGGAGACCCGAGACCCCACAGGCCCCGCGGTGGGGCGCAGAGGGCAGGGGCCTGGCACACCCCACTGGGCCTGGTTCAGCTTTTCTTCCTTGCTTGTCTTCCTTTAATTTCTACCTTTTCCTTTTTTCTTTTCTTCCCTGCCTTCTTTCCTTCCTATTTAGGAGTACTGGTGTTGGAACTCAGGACTGCAGGTTTGCTAAGCAGGCATTTTACCACTAGATCCAGGCCCCTGTACTTTTGAGGGGCTTTACTTATCTTTTCAAAAAGATCTTATGTTTCTGCAGAGACTGGTATCAGATCTCAGTCCTCCTATTTATGTTTCCTATGTAACTGGGATCGCAGGCGTGAACCACCACACCTAGCTTTTTTTTTTTTTTTTTTTAAATTGAGATGGGGTCTCAATGAAAACTAACGTTTCCACCATGAGCCTCCTGGCTGCTAGCCCTGAGGAGCTAGGATTACAGGTGTGCACCATCATGCTCAGTCCCTAGATTTTTCTTATATATGTGGGCCGAGGCATGTCCCTTGATGCATTGCAGATGCTCATGCACTCCCCTAATCTCCACAAAGAGCAAGAAAGACTCCTAAGACTCCAGAAGGTTCCCAGCCCGTGGCCCCAACCGGGCATCTGCCTCCAGAGATTGTATGGTGCTTCGTGAAGTCCATCCCCGTGCACTGGGTGGGTGGCTCATCTCTGGTATCCGCATGCATGTTGTTTGTTCCACCCTGCGCTTCTGGGTTCATCCCTCATGGGATGCAGCAAGCCTCTGCTGGTCTGAGGCATCGCAGTCACGGGGCTGGTCCTGCTGGTCCACCCTCTGTGAGCCTTTGGCTGTCTCTAGTTTAGGGCTGTTTCCAGGAGCCTGTGAGGAGCACTGCTGGGGTGAAGTTTTCCTCAGATCCACTCCTTGGGAGTGAAGTTACCGGGTGTGTGGGGTGTACCCTCAGTAGGTGTTCCGGATGTTTCCAGTGTTTGCTTTCCCAGTGAGCAGTGAGGGTCCCCCTTCCACGTGATGGCCTGAACAGAACTTCATTGTCATTGTGTGTTTTTTTTTGTGGTAGCTATTCAGGGGAGGGAGGGAGAGAGAGAGAGAGAGAGAGAGTGTGTGTGTGTGTGCGCGAGCGCGTGTGTGTGTGTGTGTGCTGGTACTAGGGCTTGAACTTGGGGCCTGGTTGCTATCCCTGAGCTCTTTTGTTTAAGACTAGCTCTCTACCACTTGAGCCATAGCTCCACTTTTTGCTGGTTCAATGGAGATAAGAGTCTCCTGGACATTCCTGCCTGAGCTGGCTTTGAATTGTGTTCATCGGATCACACCTGCTGAGTAGCTAGGATTATAGGCTTGCACCCCAGCACCCTGCTAGATAGTGGTACTCTATAAGGGCTTTAATTTGCACACTCTGTGAGTCACCAGGGTGGCACATTTGGCAATTTGGATTTCTTCTTTTGTGCTTGATCCAGTCATTTGTCCATTCTCACACTTGAGTTTCTTCTCTCTTTTATTAGTAAGATTTCATTATATGTTGTCCAGATATTATATGATTATCCAGGTACCTCCATCCCGCCTCGGGCTATTTTTCCCCCCAGTCATGGGGCTTGAACTCAGGGCCTAGGCATTGTCCGTGAGCTTTTGCACTCCAGGCTAATGCTCTACTACCTTGAGCTACAGCTCTGCTTTTGGTTTTCTTGTGGGTAATTGGAAACAAGTCGCATGGACTTTCCTGCTCAGGCTGGCTTTGAACCGCTATCCTCAGATCTCAGCCTCCTGAGTAGCTAGGATGACAGGTGTGAGCCACCAGTGCCCAGCCTAGCCTGAGACTTTCTAATTCCTTTTTTCTTTTTTCTTTTCATTTTTTCCTGACAGTCCTGGAGTTTGAAGTCAGAACCAGACTTACTAATCTGGTACTTTGCTACTGAACCATGCCTCCTGCTCTTTTTTGCACTGGTTAATTTTGCGATAGCGTCTCCCTTCCTTCCTGGACACATACCTGGACTGTGATCCACCTAGTTCAGGCTTCCCATTGTGGCAGGGACCACAGGTTCACACCATCACGTCCAGCTTATGTGGACTTTTCTGCCCATGCTGCCCTGAGCTGCAGTCCTCCTCATCTCAGTCTCCCGTGTGGCTAGGATGAGAAGCACAGGCCACCGCACCCAGCTATGGTTGAGAAAGTGCTCTTGCAAACTCTTCTGCCCTCAAACCAGGATCTTCCCTGATCTCAGCTTCCCCAGTAGCTAGGCTGAAAGGTGTGAGCTACTGGGATCTGGCCGGTGGCTACTGGGATGAGGGCAAAGGTCTTTGTCGTAACAGAGTCGCCAGTGCTGTTCCGTCCTCTCCACCCTGGCTCAGGGTGCTCTCCTGCTTTCTTGTAGAAGCTTTGTTCTTGACTCTCACCCTTGGCTCTAGGTATCTCCCCAAAAGAGTTCTGTCCACTTTTCCCTAAGCATTGCTCTGTTCAGTGGGCCAGGCCCCATCTTCCCCCAAAGGGAGTGTCAGTGGGGACCAAAGTCCTTTCATGACCTGGGCCTCAGAGGAAAGCTCTGGAGAGGTTTTCAGACCTTCTCTCATGGGCAGAGCCCTTGGAGAAGCATAGATGTCCCCAGGACCTAGAGAATGAGGCAGGGCTACCTTAGCTGAATTATGGGAGGAAGCCCCAGGGCCTACCCCCTCTTCCCCTCCCACACCTACCTCCCTGACCCCTGGCCGCAGCTGGGGGGTGCCTCGCTGGGGGGCTCTCAGGGCCCTTCCCAAGCTGGCATCCCCCTTTCTCCCTCAGTGGATGCAGGACATTCTTGGCCAGGCCATGGACGCCCTGGATTACCTGCACCAGCTGGACATCATTCACAGGTGATGGGCAGGGCCTCCTCCCACTCAGGTGTGGGTCTGGGGGTGGGGCATGATCCGGTCCCTCCCCTCACCCTCCTCAGGATGGGCCACTCCTCCTCCCCTCCCCATCCCAGGCTAAGAGAAGCCTGGCTGACTGGTGGTAAGGTGCACCGCTTTGTGAATATCCAGACGAGTGCCGGGTGGTTCTAAAGTGCAAGGGAGGTGGAGATAAGGAAGGAGAGGTGAGGCCACCTGCAGTGGCCTGGCTTGGGGACGGGACAGGCCAACATGGGTGCCATACCCCAGGCCAGCCTTTGGCCTGCCAGCTCCCAGCTTCTGGCACCAGAGGAGGAGCTGGGAAATGGCTTCCATTCTGGCATCCAGACACTGATGTCATTCAATGTCCGACCATCCTTCCTTCTTCCATCCTTCCCTTTTCTCTCCCTCTCTTCCTCCTTCCCTCCTTCCTTTCCTTCCTCTTTCTTTATTTCTCTCTCTCTTCTTTTTTTGTGTGTCAGTTGTGGGGCTTGAACTCTGGGCCTGGGCACTGTCCCTCAGCTCTTCAGCTCAAGGTGAGTGCTCTACCACTTGGGCCACAGCACCACTTCTGGTTTTCTGGTGATTAATTGGAGATAAAGAGTCTCACAGACTTTCCTGCCCAGGCTGGCTTTGAACCACAATCCTCAGATCTCAGCCTCCTGAGTAGCTAGGATTACAGGCATGAGCTACCAGCGCCTGGCAACAGGAGCATTTTCCTGAGGAGAGAGGAGGGCCAGAACTAGGCCAGGAGGGGAGTGAGGTTCAGGGCCTGTGCTGGTCTGCCCAGCAGCTCTGAGATCCTCAGGGTCCCACCTTTTGGCCACAGGAACCTCAAACCCTCCAACATCATCGTCATAGGCAACACCCAGTGCAAACTTGAGGACCTCAGCTCCCACACGCTGATGACCCACGAGGCCAAGTGGAACATTCGTGCGGAGGAAGGTGGCCGAGAGGAGGGGTGGCGAGCCCCCAGGGAGGGCAGCTCGCAGGTCCACGGGGCCGGGGCCACTCTGGGCACCGGGCTTTTCCATCAGAAGGTCCCCACAGACCTGCCTCAGGTCCCAAAGAGGTGGCCTGGCTGGGGCTGGAGCTGAGCAGATACAGCCCCTGTGGTTGTAAATGCAGACTCCGAAATAACAGATTGGAGAGAAAGCACCCCAGGAACAAAGCAAGGTCTGGGGTACCCCTGAAAATGCTAGTGTTTTGTTTTTTGTGTTTTTTTTTTTTGTGGTTGTTGTTTTGGCAGTCCTAGGGACTTGAAGTCAGGGCCTGGGCACTGTCCCTGAGCTTCTTTTGCTCAAGGCTAACACTCTATCATTTGAGCCACAGTGCCACTTCAGTCTTTTTTTGTGTATGTGATACCCAGAGCTTCATGCATGCTATGCAAGTACTCTGCCATTAAGCCACATTCCCAGCCCCTGTTAGTGCTTATGTATTCAAGGGAAGACCCAGGAGGAAGGAAACAGTGTGGAGGGGGCAGGGGTGGTCTGTGGGGTGCAGACATGGATATGTGTGTGACTGGAATCCTGAAGTCGCATAAGGGATGAGTCAGGGCAGCAGCAAGGGAGATGAGTTCTCTTCCTTTGAAAAAATGGCAGAGTAAAGGAAGCAGCTTCAAGGCTTAACAGACACCCACCCAGGTGGACAGAGAAAATGAAGTAGAGAATTTCAGTCCCAAGGTGGCAGTGGTTAGTGGCACTTTTTCTTTGTTATACAGAGGATGGTGGGATGGATGGGTGGGTGGATGGATGGGTGAGTGAATGGATGGATGGATAGATAAGTAGATAAGCGAATGGATAGGTGGATGGATGGATGTAAGGATGAATGGATAAATGGATGGTTAAGTGGGTAGGTGGTTGGATGGATGGATAAATGGGTGAATGGATAGGTGGGTGAATGAATGTAAGGATGGATAAATGGATGAGAAGGGGTGGGTGGTTGGATAGATGAGTGAATGGATGGAGGTGGATGAATAGATATGAGGGTGGGCGGGTGGGTACCAGGTGGGTTGCTGGAGGTGGAAATGGCTGGAGTATCTTGGCATGCAGCCCGTTGCTGTTTGGCCAGGGGAATGGAGCCTCAAAGGCAAGTGGAGGCAAAAGAGGGAGGGTTGCCTAAGGACAAGCAGAGACTGGCAGAGCTGAGCCAAGACCCCAGTCTTTCAGCTCCTCTAGAGTACACATTTGGAAATAGGGCAGCGCAACCGGAACCTCACCCCCGGTCCTGACACTTAGAGGGGCGAGCTGTTGGAGGAGGTGCACCCTTCAGTCTTCTTGGTACATGGCTCCTTCCGCACACCCAAGCCAGCATGCCAGGCCGATGGTCTCCCTGCTCAGCCAAGGCAGAGGTCTAGTTGAGCCCTGGCTCTACTGCCCTCGGCTAGCATTTCTTGCCTCTCCCAAGAAGGGCTGGCAGTTCATACAGTTTTATGGGGTCACTAAAAAGGGGCAGTTCTCGTCTAGGAGGGCTCTGTCCTGCCTCCACCCTTAGGGAGCCTGGGACCCAGCATTCTCCGCCTTTCTCCTGCCCACAGACCCCTGTCAGAAGTCGTGGATGGCCCCCGAAGCCCTCAACTTCTCCTTCAGCCAGAAATCTGACATCTGGTCCCTGGGCTGTATCATTCTCGATCTGATCTCCTGCTCCTTCCTAGATGTGAGCTGTGTGCTGGGGGCGGGCCCCGCTCTCACCGGCCTCCAGTCCCACCCACGGCCCCATACTCAGCCCCTGTCCATTCTGGCAAGAGGACAGGGCAGCAGGGGCCATGATTCTTGGCATCTGTCATCAGCTCTGCCTCTGATGGCTGGAAACCACCCAACCCGAGGCCCCTGGCTGGAGCAGAGGGCAGCAGAGGCTGCCTCTTGGGAGACTCGACCTAAATACCCCAGGGCTAATTGCCACACAGGCCAAGCTGGAGTGAGATGTATTCTCCTGTCCTTGTCAGGGGGTCATGGTCACCTGACAGGAGGCAGGTGGGAAGCTGAGCCTTTGGGGGGGGGGGCACGCAACAGTGCCAAACACAGGCATGGATGCCCCCATTCCTAGGACCAGGTCCCAGAAAGTACAAGCACCTGTCTGGGCCCTAGCTCCTTCACGCTTTCCCAGAGCCTCCAGATTTAAACTGAGAAGCACCTCGCCGTTCCCTTCCTCAGGGGAGCCCGGGCCTTCCTGCTTGGAGGGAGGACAGGCTCCACCCCACCCTGCACCAGGGGCCCCCTGCCCACCCTCTGCCCGGTGAGATGGCCACATGCTTCTTTGAGCCTCTATGTCTTCTGTGGCCTCCAGCTCCCCTCTAGTCCTCTTTCTGGCCCCCAGCCCCCCCTCCGCCCTTTGGTGCATGGCTTTCACGTAGTTGTGAAAATACACAAACCAGAGGCCTGCATCCTTGTAGACCACAGAGGCCATGAACCTGCGGAAGTCCCTCCACCAGACCGGAGGTAACCTGAAAGACATTCTGAAAGACATCTCGGACCGGAAGGTCCCCAGTGCAGAGACCTTCTGCTCCCTTCTGCCACTTATGCTGCAGATCAGCCCGTCCAATCGAATCTCTATAAGGTGAGCCTCAGAGGGTTTTTGTTTTTGTGTTTGGTGTGCTGGCCCTGGGCCTTGAACTCAGAACTTTTGCACTCAAGGCTAGCACTCTACCACTTTAGCCAGATCTCCACTTATGGTTTTTTGGTAGTGGAGTCTTTTGGACTTTTCTGTCCAGGCTGGCTTTGATCTGTGATCCTCCCATTCCAAGTGTTAGCCACTGGTGCCTGGCAGGGTCAGGTTTTTATTTTTTATTTTTTTGGGGTCCGGTTGTGGGACCTGAACTCTGGGCCTGGGCGCTGTCCCTCAGCTCTTCAGCTCAAGGCTAGCGTTCTACCACTGGAGCCACAGCGCCACTTCCAGCTTTTTTCATTTTGCTTATGTGGTGCTGAGGAATCGAACCCAGGACCTCAGGCATGCAAGGCACGCGCTCTACCACTGAGCCATTTTCCCAGCCCCCCCGGGTTTTTATTTTAACCTATTAATTTACTTTTCACAATGTCTGCACCTAGCAAACATGGCTGCTGGCTTTTTTTTTTTTTTTTTTGCCCCCATCCTCACTACATCCTGTTGCACAGATGCAGCCTTGCCCAGCCGGAGACCCTGAATGCAGGCCTCTCAACACTGGGCCACACCCCCTCATCGTCAAGCATGGACACAGCCCCAGGGAACCATGACACTTTTAGGGGTTCATGGAAAGCCATCCAGGAGGAGTGAATCCCGCTTGGCTTAGATGAGTCTTTATAGCAGCATAGACATCCAGTCTGAATTTCTCTTTTTGTCTGAAGGGACAGGACCTAAGACCACCCTGAGGGGCTCCCCGCAAGGTTTTGGCGGGGGGGGGGAGGAGGGGATGGAAAAGCTTGTGCTGGCCACACAAGGCACCATGAGAGACCCTGCCAAACAGATTCTATCCCAGGATGGCCAGCGCCCAGTGTCAGCCTGAGCCCAGCAGGGGGAGTGGCCTGGGGGAGGCCACCACGTGCGCTCTCGCTCCCTCCTGCCCCCCCTCTGCTAGGCAGGTCATACACATCACCTTCGCGGACAGCTCCTCCAGGCCACCCCGAGTCATGCTGACCCTGCACCAGCAGGTGGTGCCCATGGCCGTCACTGACATGCTCTTACAAGGCAACCTGGGCAGCATTTTAGGTGACAGTGGGGCCCGGGGAAGGCTGAGGGTGCTTCCTTTGGGAGGGTTGGACTTTGGGGGATCTGCTCCTCCTGTCTGGCCAGCGGGGGGGTGGGGGTGGCTTCCAGGCTCCTCACGACCCCCACCCCCAGCATGCCCCGCACTGCTTGGCAACTGCCCTGCCCAGATACCCTCCATGGCTGCCAGTTCGCACAGCAGAGTTTATCTCCACAGCCCAGCCTTCACCCCTGAGCTGGCCCCACACACCACCTCAGTGGTGGGCTGGTGTACCACGGTCTGGTGTCTTCACTCAGTCTGAACTCGTGGGCCAGGATGAGAGGCAGCCCACTGAGGCCAAGGGAGGGGCTTGCCAGACATGGGCACGATCACCAACAAGCTGCTCAGCCCCAGGGGAGAAGAGCGCCGCCTCATGGCCCGATGGGGCGGGTCTGAGGAGGGGCAGCAGGCCAGCAGCTAGGCATGGGGAATGGTGCCCTGGTGGCCCCGGCCCTCAGCGAGTTTCCCCATGCCCCCTGTTGCTGCAGAGGTCATGCAGAACTTCTCCAGCAGCCCCGAAGTCCAGTTCAGGGCCATGAAGAAACTAATGACAATGTCGGATGATGAGCTAGGTAGAAGCCTTCCCCCCCCCCCCCCCCCCCCCCCCGCTGTCCAGGCTGCTTCTAGGACAGACCCTGGAGCCCAGCACTCTGGGCCTGGCCACCCTTCCTACCCCTTAAAGGCTGTTTACGTCCCCAGAGGGGTTCCATGTGATTGACACGGAGCCAGTAGCCAGCCTCAGCCCCTCTCACCCCAGCCCACAGATAGCCTCTGTCAAGGCAGTCACTGCTGTGGGTGCTGGGATCAGGCTGTGGTTCAAGGCCAAGTGCTTTCATTGTGTCAGGCCTTCTGCTTTCCCACCTATAAAGTAAGGGCCATAAGGAGAAGGCCGACTACACTGAGCTACGGGAAGCATATGCCTCTACAGAGCCAGGCATGGCAGCACTTGCCTGTAGTCCCAGCACCCAACTTGGGGTGGCGGGGAGTTGAGGCAGAAGCTCTCTTGAGCCCTGGAATTTGAGGGCAGCTCAGACAATATAGACTCCATCTTTTAAAAAAGGGGAGATAGTGGCACTGGAATGTGTGCACTGGCCAGCTTTGCCTTTGTGCTTTCCTGCTCAGGTCCCCTCTGGGTCATGGAGTGGCTTCCCCCCCACTCCCTCCCCCCCCCCCCCCCCCCCCGCGCCTCACTGTGCTGCCTGCCCCTCTGGTGTCCCAGGGGCCCCTCTGGGTCATGGAGGAGCGGCTCCCTCCACTCCCCGGTGCCTCACTGTGCCTCTGCCCTGCCAGGCCTGCCATGGCCCATGGAGATGGTGATGTCAGTGACTGCCATCATGAAGCAGCACCAGAGGATCCTAGAGCTGCAGCTGTGCACCTGGTCCCTACTGCTGCACGTCATGGGCCAAGGTGGGTGCCAGGCCAGCCAGGGGAGACAACAGTTTCTCCAGGAATCTGATTGCTAGAAGCCCATCCCCAGCTGCCAGGTGCAGGCCAGGTGTCTTCCCCCCCACCCCCCCGTCCCCCGGCCCGGCTTCCCAGCTGCGCAGTGAGGACCTGGATAGGACAGAGTCCTCTAGACACCCCCAGACCGAGGCACTGTACCTTCAGGGGCCCCAGCTGGTGGGAGGGCAGCTGAGGAGCATGGGGACCAGAGGGGGCAGTACTGAGCTTGCTACCCAGGAGCAGCTGTAGCTGAGCTGTTCTCCTGTAGCTCTCTGTAAAACTGCCTTTGATTTTAAGCCTAAAGTAGTTGTGTTGCTTTTTTGTCAGTTGTGGGGCTTTAACTCGGGGCCTGGGAGCTGTCCCTGAGCTCATCAAGACTAGTGCTCTACCATTTTGAGCCATAGCACCACTTCTGGTTTTCTGTTGGTTAACTGGAGATGAGAGTCTCATACTTTCCTGTCCTAGCTGGCTTTGAACCGTGATTCTCAGATCTCAGCCTCCTGAGTAGCTACGATCACAGGCGTGAGCCACCAGCGCCCAGCTAAGTAGTTATCTTTCTAGCTTACCTACTAAAGGATGAACTTCCGCATACCATTTAAACGTCTTAGCTGTTTGGGTTTTTCTTGACAGTGGTAGTGACTGGTACCAGGCCAGTGTGCACATAGGCAAGTCCCGTGAGCTTCTGAGTTCTGCCAGCACAAACCCTGTAGGCTCCGGGAGGCCAGCACGGGCCCAAGACGCAGGAGGGCCAGGCCAGGGCCCTGTGTCCTTCACGGCCAGGCCTTGTCTGTGCCCAGGTCTGCTCCATGCTGGGGGGGATGAGGCAGACTGGCAGGTTCCTCAGCCGCTCCCCATCAAGGAGGGCCCCATGTGCCCTGTCTGCCCCTGAGCCTCCCCTGTATGGGGTCAACTCAGGTTCCTCCCCCGATCTGAGCAGCACTGATGCAAGATGATGAGGCACAGGCACCGAAGACGCAGTGGGACAACTCCATCATCGTCTACCTGCTGAACACCATGCGGAGCCACCCCGACTCCGTGCAGCTCATCACCACAGGCCACAGCATCCTCACCATCATCTCCAGCCAGGGTGCGCAGCCCATCCCACGGGAGAGCCAGGGGTACAGAATGCCAGGGCTGGGGGGTGGCATGGAACTTATCCCCAAGATGACTCAAGTGGTGAGCGGCTCTGCTCTGATGTTGGGTGCTTTCCTTTGCGCTCTCAGTGACACCCACTTTTACAGCCACCGGTTCCTCCACAGATGGACCTAGGTGCCAGGCACATGGCAGGCACAGCCATGGGCTTCGCACACACTGACATCATGCTCTGCGCCTGCGGGCTTGGAGGCTACTGGCCAGGCGGTCAGTGCCCTTTCCTCCTGCCCACGAGTGGGCACCGATGTCCCACAGAAAGCAGCAGACTCGAAGAGCCCAAGGCTACATGCCAGAAGTCCCAGGAGGGCAGGGCTGGGCCCCAGTCTGCTCCCTTCACACCCCAAAGATTTCCCATCCATCACTGAACACACGTGGGGATGAAAGGGACTCTAGAAACAGACATGAACTGGAACGGCCAGGCACACTGGACATCTGCTTTCCCACTGGGAAGCTACAGTGACTGCCCCCAGCTTGGTAACGGCTGAGGGATGCTGGGTGGGGTCAGGAGATGGGCAGCTTCTCCAGGGCCAGCTCCAGAAACACGTCAGAGGGCAGGTGGGGGGAAGGGTGGAATGCCTGGGGTGTCTTCTGCCCTCAGGCGCGGTCTCTGAGGAGATGCAGAAGGCAGGACTGATTGAGCTGCTCCTGGAGCACCTGAACCGCTACGCAAAGGACAGGGATGTCTGCCTCCGTGCCCTGGGCCTACTCTGGTCCCTCCTCGTGGACGGTGAGAGCCTCCCATCACGGCCTCCACGTCCTAGCTCGTAAACACACCAGGGCAACCTCAGCCCCCGAGGTGCAGAGCCCAGTGCAGAAGGGGAGGGGGACAAAGCTGAGGGAAGGGGGCCAAGTCCAGCGCTGGCACCTGGCGCTGGAGGTCAGCCAGAAAGCTGAATGCCCATCCTTGGATTTGATTCAGAGAATGGGAGCCCCCGGCCAAGGCCAACCCTCTTCTAGGTCCTACCTGGCACCCTAATGCCTGAAGTCTGTTTTACCCAGAGGAAGGTTCTGGAAAGTCCAGAGAGCCCCAGACACTGAACAGTGCTCAAAATATCAGTCCCCAAGCCTCTCTGGGGGATTCCTGCCCCACAGACTTTCTGGCTTTGGGGAGCTCCACCTTCTGTTTTCTGAGGACACATGTCCGTCCTGGTTTCTGTTGTTGGGCTCGGCAGGAGGGAGCAGCCGCGCACGCTGCTGCTCAAGGTCTGGGTATCTCCTATCCTGCCCCACATCCAGCTGTCATTGTGGACAAAGGCCCACTGGACCAGATCCCTGCCCTGGTCATCCAGCAACTGGCCACCCACCCTGAGGATGGGGAGATGGCCGAGGCAGGCTGCGCGGTGCTCTGGCTGCTGTCCTTAGTCGGTGAGCAGCCGTGGCTGAGGAGGGAGGCTGGCCCCACAAGTCCAGGCACCGAGGCCCACCTGCTCTCTGCAGGCTGCATCAAGGAGTCGCAGTTTGAGGCCGTGGTGACGCTGTTGCTGCAAAGCATCCGGCTGTGCCAGGACAGAGTGCTGCTGGTGAACAATGCCTTCCGGGGCCTGGCCAGCCTCACCAAGATGTCAGGTGAGCCCCAGGAGGGACAGAACTGCACCAGAGGCTGCACAGAGCAGTCCCCGGCAGTCATTCCTGCCAGCTGCCACAAGCCACGAAAGGAAAGCCGGGCACCAGTGGCCCAAGTCTGTATTCTTGGCTGCTTAGGAGGCTGAGATCTGAGGATCATGGTTTGAAGCCAGACTAGACAGGAAAGTCTATGAGACTCTTAGCTCCCACTAACCAGCAAAAAAAAAAAAAAAAAAAAAAAAAAGCCCGAAGTGGCGATGTGGTTCAAGGGTAGAATGCCAGCCTGGAGCAAAATAGCTAAGGGACAGCACTCAGGCTATTGAGTTCCAGTTCCAGCACTGGCATCAAAAAATAAATAAATGATGGGCTGGGAAGGTGGCTCAGTGGTAGAGCGCTTGCCTTGCATGCATCAGGCCCTGGGTTCGATTCCCCAGCACCACATAAGCAAAAAGAAAAAAGCCGGAAATGGCGCTGTGGCTCAAGTGGTAGAGCGCTAGCCTTGAGCTGAAGAGCTGAGGGACAGCGCCCAGGCCCAGAGTTCAGGCCCCCAAAAACCAAAACAAAAAAAAAATAAATAAATGAATAAAAGGAAAAGCAAAATGTGTACACAAAGCACCAGCATGGGTACCCTTCAGTGTTCTGCTTAATGCTGTCCAGTGGCCATCTTCCCCATCCACTCACACATTTGCGGCAATATGTGGTCTTGTCTACAATGACCACAACACAAAACCTGACTCTTGTTCAGTAGCTCATGCTAAGCACCCCAGGCCCTCCTGGGTACCCCAGGCCTGGCTGTCCTCCAGCCTCGCAGAGAACACTTGGCCTGGGACAGGACATGGTCAGCAGCAATGCACAGCAGGGGCAAAGCCCAGCCCTTCATCCTAATGTATTGGCCACACGGCCTTCCTGGGGGCGGCAACTAACCCTAGGTGCTGGGGGCCACCTTCTGGCTCTGTGCCCATCTACAGGGCTGTCCAGCACCCTCCTGCTCAGTCCTCCCTGGGAAGAGCTCGTTCCTGGCCAGCTCTAGATGGGAGTACAGAGCTGGAGAGGCCCTGGTCAGCCTCCAACTGTGGACTGGGCCTTGTGTGGGGCCTTCCTCTCTCCCTGGGTAGCAAGCTCCTCCCACTCAGGCCACCCCAGGGTCTCAGTCCTGGACCCCATGTCTCAGGGACTGGGCCCCAATCTGAGGCCCTGAGGGCAAGAGAGACACCACTTAGCTGAGGGCCAAGGCCAGACCAAAGGGAGCAGGAACTGGAGCCAGCCAGGGTGACTCAGCCCTGTCACCTGCCCGTGTGACACTGGAGGTGTCTCACCCTCCAAGCTTCGGCTACCCCTGGGTATGGGGAACAATGCCCTGCAAGGCCCAGGGCAGCTTGGGTGTAACTGTGCACGGAGATCACATCAAGTGCCCACTTCCTCAAAGGCTGGGGCCAGGTATTCTGGCACCTGGGGCTCCAGTCCTTCTGACAAACTGAGTGCCCGCCCCAACAGGCTGTGGCTATGGTTGCACAGGTGAAGGTGTGTGCAAAGCCAGCCCTGGGCCTCTCCCAGCACCTCTATACTCAGTCTAGGGAAAGGCCCACACCTCAGAACCCCTCAGAAAGCTGAGCCCCTGCCCAACACGCCCACCCTCCCACTGGGCAGAGGCAAAGACTTGGCCAAGTTGGAATGGCACACGTGTAACCATGCTCCCTGGCCTCCCTGGCAGAGCTGGTGGCCTTCCGGGTGGCAGTGCTGGAGGTGGAGGGCAGTGGGCTCTGGCTCCTGCGGGACATCTACCAGCTCTACAAGGATGACCCAGAGGTGGTGGAGAACCTGTGCATGCTGCTGGCCTACCTTGCTTCTTACAGTGAGTCCCTCCCTCCTCCTGCCCCTGCAACTTCTACTCCATACCCACTGAGCACCCACCCGGACCCTAGGGCAGTGCAAAGTCTAAGTGGCACTGGCAGGCCACCCACCCCACAGGCTGTGGTCCTCAGGATGTTCTCTGCTCTTCCAGAGGAGATTGTATCAGAGCTGGAGTCTGGGGGCATCAGGGCCCTGGCCCAGGAGATGGTGGAACGTTTCACCTCCAGCCTGGTGAGTGGGTGGTAGGGGCTCCAGCCGCTGTTTTCCCACCTGCCTGCTATCCTGTCTCAAGACTGGGTTAGATCCAGTGCCCGGGGCAGGCGCCACTTTCCCAGAGCTGTACGCACTGCCCTTTGCGTGGTGGTACCCCAGCCAATTCCCATACCCCGAAGCTGCCAGTGCACACTTGCTTCCTCCTTCCAGGAGCTGGTCGCATACGCAACCACCGTGCTCCAGAGGCTGGATGAAGTTAAACCCCAGGTGAAACCCAGTCCCCCCCTCAGGGGAGACAGAGGTCCCCAGGGACCTGCAGGTGGCACCCTCCTCTCAGAAGTAGAACCTCCCTGGGGAGGTTTCGGGGAGGGTCACCAAGCCAGTACACCCCAATCACACCCTTCATGACTAATAAAAACGCCAAGGCTCCTTCCTGGTGTGCCCAGTTGTTTCTGGCCTGACTAACTGGGGCTCTTGGAGGGCTCTGGATGCTGCAGGAAGCCAGGCCTCCACCAACTATCCAAGTCCTTTATTTTGCACCAGAGGGAGGCAGGACTTTCACATGCTAGGCAAGCACTCTGCCTCTGAGTGACACCTTCTGAGTGTGCACCTCTCCTGCAGCGGTCAGGTGAATCCCCAAGCCCTGGGCTCCCCTCACTGACCAGTGTGACTGGCCATTCCTGACACTGGCCAGGCCAGAAAGCCACAGCTTGGCCAGATTTCAGTCTTCCCAGTCCAAGAGCCTCAGATCCACAAGGAGACTTGGGCCAGAAGAGGCAACTTCCAGACCACTGTGGACCGCGAGTCTTTGCAGGTACTGGCCTCCCAGCTAACTCAGGGACAAATGAGACAAATGCAAGTGTCAAAGGATCCAGGGGCCACAGCAAAGTTCGATGAAGAAGCTACCGTGCCAGCCTGCTGGGTATCAGGAGCTACCTGTGGGCACCTGGCCTGGAAACTCCACAATCAAGCCTCATTTGTCCACTTCTTCCCCAGGGGAAGGCTTTGAGTGGCTTGGATCCCTCCAGAACCTACTGCCACAGCAGCCTCAGGCAGCCCACCTCTAGGCTGCACCATGTCACCAGCTGTGGCAAGACCGGGTCCACAGCAGAGCCGAGAGAACAAGGTCCAGCAGCTCACTTCCATAACCCGCAGCCACAGCTTCCAAGTTTCACATGTTACCATGCTTTGGTCTGAGTTGGTCCTAATGCCACTGGACCCGGTGCCACTAGCCAGACAGGGAGGGCAGGGCTAGGCATCACCCTTGCAGTGGGCTGGGGCGGCCGCTGGGGGGCGCCTGTCCCTGGCGGTGCTCTCCCACTCTCTCTTCACCATGACGTAGAGCCGCATTGCTGCCTGGGCGTCTTGGACCTGGAGACACATAATGATGCTAACCACCCAACAGCTGATCACAGGCTACACAGAGTCAGCATGCTCTGCCGCTCCTCCCCGTCCCCCCCCCCCCCCATGGCAGTGTTGGGTGGGCAAGCCACAGTGGGAAGTCATGGGAAGAAGACTTCAGAAGGCCCAGGTAACTAGTTCTCCAGGTCCCCATCATTTCTATTATGAAGAACAAGATGCCCCTCTCCTCTGGCTTCCTGTCCACTGCAACATCAACTGCTTTAAGGCCTCACCCCAAGAATGCCTCTTCTCTTCATAAAGTGCTCAGCCTCAGGTATTTCATTACAGTAATATAAAATGGACTAACATAGCCTTCTGTTAGATTGGACTTTTCTCTGAATAGTTACAACATGGCACCTTTTTTGGTGTTTTTGTTTTTGTTGGTTGTGGGACTTGAACTCTTGCTGTCCCTCAGCTCTTCAGCTCAAGGCTAGCGCTCTACCATTTGAACCACAGTGCCACTTCCAGCTTTTTCTACTTATGTGGTGCTGAGAAATCAAACCCGGGGCTTCATGCATACGAGGCAAGCACTCTACCACTGAGCCACCTTCCCAGCCCTGAATGTACCATTTCATAAAGCTACTCTGCTGTGTCCTCTAAACCAGAAGCCATCCAAGACCCCACCCCTTCCTTTATAAGCCTGAGTTTCAAGGTCAGGGACAGCTACCACCCAGGGCCTGTCACTCAAGGACACACTTACCGAACAATGCTCTGCCTGCTGGACCCTGAGCCCCAGGATTTTCTCAGAAAGCAGCTTCAGAGATGGTCTTCCGCTCTGCAGAGGGGAGATGGTCCACAGTCAGCTAGGGGCGGTCCTCCACCTGACCAGCTCTGAGCCCAGCCAGGGACTGGCAGTTTGCCTCACACGGGGAGACCCATAGCACTTGGGAATGCAGCACCAGTCAGTCACGGCTGGTGAACCCCCCTTGCCTAACCCAATAAAGAGGTGAGGAGCTGGGATGTGGTGCAGTAGCCACCAGTGCTTTCCTAGCAAGTTCAAGTTACCGGTCCATCTCCAGCACAGGAGAGGGTGGGAGTGGGGACAGCACGGCACCTTCCGCCCTGGTAGCCTGGTGCCCTCCCTCAGCAGGACTCACTGCAGAGATGAGCGCACACAGTGGGGCCTGCTCGGGCTCATCTTCCAACTGACCATCACCACAACACCACCCTTTTTTCTTTTCTTGCAGCGCTGAGGACTGAACCCAGAACTGTGCCCGTGCGTTCCATCAACGTGCTGCACCCTACCCTGCTTTCTACTCTAGGATGCCTTTTAGAGGTTAAAAGGAAACCTTTTACCCAGCAGGTAGTACCAGGGCCACAGCGGGGCAGCACTGGCCAAGTACCTTCACTCTAGCCTTGAAGGGCTTGTACTTCTGTGTGTCCCGGATCTTCTTTTTTGGATGATCAAGAAACAGCACCTAGGAGCAGGAAATGAGCGCTCTCATTCTCACTCTGCATACAGGAGCCCCTTTCCAGACAGCATCCGGCAGACCCCGTGGTGACACACAAAATAAACGCCCAGAGATAAGCCCGGATCCCTGCTGCCCCCCAGTACTGAATCAGGGCCTAGCACTTGCTAGGGTAGCACTCTTATCGCTTGAGCCACGCCTCCAGTCCTACTTGGAGTTTGATTACATATAATGGGAAGCTGAGATTTGAGCAGCTCAACCCTGCAAGTTCAGCAAGACACACACACACACACACACACACACTCACACACACACTCACACTCTCTCTCTCTCTCTCTCTCTCTGCGCAGGGTGGGGGTGGGGGAAAAGACACCACCCACTGGTAGTCTCTGAAGATGATTCAATGCTTTCGATACTTACTTTATGTTACAATTTTTTATCTTCCAGGTGCTGAGGATGAAACCCAGAGTCTCTACAACTAAACTATACTGTCAGGTTGCATTTTTTTTTTTGGGGGGGGGGGGGGGCGGGTAATTCCAGGGTTTTGAACACAAGGCCTCATTCTTGCTAGGCAGGTGGCTCTACCACTTGAACCAAGCTCCAGCCCTTTTTTGGCTTAATTTTTCAGATAAAACTCTTTCGTTTTCGCCTGGGCCAGTCTACCATGATCCTTCTACCTAAAAGCCTTCCACACAGCTGTGACAGCAGGCACACACCACTATATCCAGCTTACTGCTTGAGATGAAGTCTTAGTAACTTTTCCCTGGGTTGGCCTTGAACTGTGATCCTTTTGATCTCTACCTCCTAGATATTTGGGATTATACTCATGAACTACCACGTACAGCCCCTAAACACTTATTTAAAAGGAAGTTAAAGCTGGGCAGCAGTGGTTCACACTTGTAATCCTAGCTACTTGGGAGGCTGAGATCTGAGGATCGCAGTTAAAAAGCTGCCCAGGCAGGAAAGTCCATGAGACTCTTATCTCCAATAAACCACCAGAAAACCGAAAGTGGCTCCATGGCCCAGGTGGTAGAGTGCTCACCTTGAGCTGAAGAGCTGAGGGACAGCGCCCAGACCCAGAGTTTAAGTCCCATGACTGACAAAAAAAAAAAAAATTAAAACCACTAGAGGTTCCTGAAACACAGGCCTCTCAAATACTAGAGTCTTATAATGCTGAACAGCCCCAAAGACCGTGGCCAGGAAGGACATCGCGAGGTTCCAACCTGCAGGAGCCTCAAGGAGTAGAGGCCAGAAGCCACACACCTTGACCCTAGAAAGGCCTTCTAAGCTTTCCTACCCCTCTCCCACAGGACAGGACAGTGGGTGGCCAGCTGTGAAAGAAGCCAAGCCTAGAATGGCTGCCCCAGGAACATGTCCGCACCCAACTCCCCACTGCTGGGAGCAGCTGCTGGCCCTGCCTACTGAGCATGCTCAGCAGCAGTGGGAGAAGCACTGGGCAGTGTTCCTGGCACACTGTAACCTTAGCAGGACTCAGTGCTGCCATCTGTAAAAAGAACATGAATCTCTGGGGGGTTTCTTCCCCCTCTTTTGGCCAATCCTGGGGCTTAAACTCAGGGCCTGGGCACTGTCCCTGAGCTTTTGCTTAAGACTAGCACTCTACCACTTGAGCCACAGTGCTACTTTGGTCTTTTTCTGTGTATGTAGTACTGAGGAATCGAACCCAGGGCTTCACGCATGCTAGGTAAGCACTCTATCACCAAGTCACCTTCCCAGCCCCTCCAATGGTTTTGTTTTCTGCTTTCACAGAATGTTGTAAAGGGGCCACCTACTAAACTGCTGCCTGGCCCAGAAGAACCCCACACCCTGGCAGCTGGGGGAAGAGCAGAAGCATCTCTTCTGCAGCCAGATTGGGCTCCCCACTCCCCTCCACCCCTGCTCCCTGCAATTGCCTGTGAACTTAAAAGTAACCCATGGCTTGTGAGCACGCTGGGTTTTCCTAGGTGTCTGAGGGAAACACAAGGTTGGGCTCCCAGCATCAGGGCAAGGCTCCAGCAGGCACAAACTGGACACAGGTCAGAAGCCACAAGGACTCAGCCAGCATAACCAAGTTTCTGATGTGCTGGGCCCTGGGCACGGAAAAGGCGACTGGACATCAGGCCTTCGGCCAGGTGAAACAGGTGAACTCACAGCCAGCCCTTCACCAAACCCAGAGCAGGGCTGTCAGCTGCTCTGGCTCTGGAGCCCTCATGCTGCCAGAACTTCCAAAACCAGGACCTAGTATGGTCCTTCGAGCACAGCAAGGAATCAGAAGTGCCACTGGACATACTGAGATTTCCAGAATAGGACATAGATTTAAAAATTAAAGATACAATAGTACTAGGTGCTGGTGGCTCATGCCCGTAATCCTGATATCCAAAGGATCACAGTTCAAAGCCAGCCTAGACAGAAAAGTTCATGAAACTTTGTATCTCCAAAATAACTAGCAAAAAACAGGCCTAAAAGTGTAGCTGAAATGGTAAGAGCACCAGTTTAGCCAGTAAGCTGGAAGAGGGCAAGGTCCCGAGTCCAAGCTCTGGTGCAGGCGGGCAGGGGATCACACGGAGACCCTCTGGAGCCAGAGGGCAGGAGGAGGGGTATATGGCACAAGGCACCTTTAAA